CCTCAACACGGCAGCACCAGCAGCAGAGACACGGGCCGGCCGCGGCCACAGTCGACCGCGCAGCATCCTGTCGACCCCGACGAGGCCCGGAGCTTTGCGCTGCGAACCGCCTATCTGCACTACCTATTGCAACCCAAAGCCAAACGAAAGCAATATGTCCCGGCCCCAAAGGTGCCTACGCGGGCACACACCAGCGTCGGACAGCTGGTGCAGGACTTTGTCTCGGGCACGTCGACCAGCATCAAGCTGCCGCACAACTTCGCTGCCGCTCTGCTGGACCGCGTTGGCGGCGTGCTGAGGGGCAGCGAGGCTCTGCCGGGCTACAGCGATGCTGCTGTCAAGAGAAGCTTTGCCGAGGCGTATACGGCCTTCTCCGAGAAGGCATTTCGCAAGACAATCGAAAAGGAGAGGAAGTTTGAGCCCTTGGTCCTCATCTTCTACTCTGCGGCCACGAAAGCTGCCCAGAAGGGAAAGACACCGGACGACGAATCCGACTCGTGGAAGCTGCTCCCTGACCGCCACCTGGCCATGTTCGTGAGACTTGCCGCCAGTGTTATGAGAGACCAAGGCCACGACCGAGACCGACCTGAGCTGATGGCCCGGCTCAAAGACCTGGAGACGAAGCTCCTGAGAAACGACCAGGATCTTGTCAGCAATGGCACCGCTGGCGCTGGTACTACCATCGAGGTGATTGTGCCGCTGAGCTACGAGGTCAAGGATATGCCCATGGTGCAGATTGTCGCAAGCATATACGGCATGAGCCATTCGGAGGTCCAGGCCGAGATCAACGCCAAGCGTCAGGTGTGGACAGAAGAGGCCGCGCTCAAGGACCTCAAATCCTACCAGACGAGACTCAACGCCAACATGCCCGGTACGTTGAGCAGTCACGATTTTGACGTCGAAGATGGCTTTCAGGAGTGGAAGAAACACGAGGCGACTCATCTCTCGCAGATGATGATGGACATCTTGACCGCTAAACCGGAGCTGGCCAAAACCAAGAGTGGTCCCCTCGACAAGTCGCTGCCGAGTCGACCGACGTCGTTGTACGGAGATGATCAAGCATATGCTGACCTCAGCCGTGTGATATCCGATCCGACTTCCCCGTCCTCTGCCTTTGATCCCTCCATAAGCCTAAGCTCTCTGGCCATTGGTGAATCAAACAGTATCAGAACCGTAGATGAAGCGATATATACGTTTACCCCCCCTAACCCGAGAGCCTACTACAAACACATTCTTCAGCAGGCCATGCTGTTTGATCAGATCCACGCTGACCCCAACATGGACTACCAGCCGCTGTCGCACAAGTCCATGGAGCTGCTGACCGAGCTCTGTGTGCGGTGGCGCATCCCGCAGTTCACGAGACTCATCGTTCTCCTGGAAGCAGCTGCCAATCAGTTTCTCGAGAAGGAGATTGCCCCCGAGGACCTCGATGCTGTTTTCGACATGATCAAGTCTCCCTCGCAAGAGCTCAAGAAGCCACCCCATATACACGCGTACAACGCGCCCCTGACCGACTTCGACCCAAGCCGATGGACGATGCATGATTTTGCCGCTTACCAGCACACTCTTCACATTCTCCATGACGCGTTACTTCAGGAACTCTTTGATCTTCTCGAAGGGTGCTACGACGTCAAGCCGCCGAATATCGGGCCTGTCATGTTTCTCTTGGAAAACCACATTGGTCAAGACCCAACCTTTTCTCCCCGGGCAGAAGTCATGGACGAGTTCAGGCAGCTTCTGTCTGAGCGCCTGGCTCAAAAGGCCACGGCAGTCTACCATGACATTATGCAGAAGCAGATACCGGAGCAGAAAGAAGAGTGGGAGTTTGCTCACGTCGTCCAGCTTGGCAAGGCTGTAACCAAGGTGTGCGACCGGATCCGAAAGCGTTACAAAAAGTCTTCCACAATCATGGGGGTCGATCCATTAAGCATTCTAGTGTATGAAGTATTCCCCAAGTTTGAGCAAGATGCAAGCGCCATTGTCCAAATCATCATGCAGTCAGCTGGTGAGAGTGGCCAGGAAATTGAGATCCAGGACGGCTTTGATCTCTACAAGGAGCTGAAAGAAATCCGCGGGATTCATGAGGAATTCCTCCCCAAGGAGCCCTTCGGCTTCAACATTGAAGACTTGCTCGTCGACTTCGTGTGGCGCTGGCTGGCGTCGGCCGAGGCCCGAATGACGGATTTCGTGGACCAGGCAATTAAGCAAGACAAGTTTCAAGTTAGAACAGAGAGCCCGGATCAGATTCCCGGAGACGCGCAGCGACATAGTGTGTCCGTCATTGACATGTTCATGCTCTTCAACCAGACAGTAGACCAGGTTTACAAGCTGGAATGGGGCAACCCAGAGCATCATGCCAGATTTATGACCGCGCTGGCGAGGAGCTTTTCCGCGGGCATTGGCCGTTACTGTGAGACCGTCGACCAGCAGTTTGCAAAGGAAATGGATCGTCCATCTGCGCAGGAGCTTGCTGCACAAACCCAGTCTACCCAGGAGAAGTGGATGCAGTTTGCCAAAGACGCATGGAACAACAAGGACAAGGCGGAACCATTCCAGTTCTTCCCGGAGGTAATGTTCTCGGACCGGCTCCTTTTTCAACACAATGCTAACCTGGTGTGTCACCTAGTCCTTTGTCAAGCTCAACAATATTGAGTACGCGATGCAGGAGCTGGACAAGCTGGAAAAGACTATGAACGTCGAAGCATGTGCGGCTCTGTTGGAGAAGAAAGACGGGGTCAAGAAGAAGACTCGAAAGCCAAACAAGTACACCTTCACTATCAAGGTAGTGGAGGCTGAGGACATCAAAGCTTGCGATCCATCAGGCTACAGCGATCCGTACGTAGTCTTTGGCGATGAGTATCAGAAACGACTCCATAAGACGCGTATCGTTCACCGAAGTCTGAACCCTCGCTGGGATGAGTCTTTTGACATCACCGTGCAAGGCCCAGTCAACGTCATTGCTACGATATGGGATTACGATACTTTTGGTGACCACGACTACGTCGGGCGGACCTCACTCAAGCTGGATCCCAACCACTTTGGCGACTATCTCCCCCGTGAATTCTGGCTGGACCTGGATTCACAAGGCCGTCTCCTGATCAGAGTGAGCATGGAGGGAGAGCGCGACGACATTGTGTTCCACTTTGGAAAAGCTTTCCGCCATCTGAAGCGCACGGAGAGAGACATGGTTCGAAAGATTACGGACAAGGTACGTTATGGCAATCGTTTTTTCTCCTTCATGATATTACAGAAGTGCAGCTTGGCTCACATGCGTCTAGCTTACTGTTCAAATCAACGAAACGCTGTCACTGGAGACGTTGCGGAACCTTTTGGGATCTGGGGGCGTGGGAGCTTCGATTACGAGTCTATGGAAGAAGAGAACTTCCGCGGCTGCCCCTTCAACAGCGCCTACTCAGGCGCAGATTGAGAGCGCTCTCACCAATCTGTTTGCATACTTTGACGACAACTTTGCCATCATGAAGATGACTCTAACAGACGCCACAATGATTGCTGTCATGACTCGTCTGTGGAAAGATGTACTCATGACGATTGAGAACCTTCTGGTGCCGCCACTGTCAGAGAAGCCGTCGACCCAGAAGCCTCTCACACGCAGGGAGCTCGACATTGTGTACCACTGGCTGGACATGCTGTTCAACTTCTTCAATGCCAAAGACGAGCACTCGGGCGAGCAGCTCGGAGTTCCAGCCGAGGTGCTCAAATCCCCTAAGTGGCACGAATTGGCCTCACTGAACTTTTTCTACTTTGAAGACACCAACAATCTCATCCGGGAGTCGGAGCGCATGGCTGCGGCCTCGGCACAACGCGCTCAGCAAGCCTTGCAGCAGCAGAACCAACCGCAGAGCCAGCAGAGCGGCAACAGGCTCGCAGTGCCGTCCAGTCTGGGGGCGTCCCTGGGCGGCGCCGGCTCGTTCGCGAGCATGGGCACCATCCGGCGCGGCAAGAGCATCATGATGAGCCGCAATCTGGGCACGATGCGCAAGGCCAAGGAGGCGAAGCGACGCGAGGCGCAGGCCGATGCCAGTGACGATATGATCTTACGAATCCTGCGCATGCGCCCCGAGGCGGCGAACTACCTCAAGGAGCGGCAGCGGCAAAAGGAGCGGCAGGCCGCGACGGCGGCAGCGGCGCTGATTGTCAGGAACAGCGTCAACCAGGGGTGGAACTCTGGTCCGCCTTTCCAGGGGGCGCCGTTTGGACGGAACAGTCTTTTGCCCAACAGGCGATGAAGCTAGAATGCGACGACGAAGAGAAGAAAGAGAGCGCAGACAAAGGGGGGGAGAAGGAGAAAGCAGAGTGTTGAATTTGGCTGAGAAGCGTGACGAGAAGCAGGGGGGAGAAGAGAAGGGGGGAGATCTTATGACGAAAGCAGCTCCATCAATTTTGCTCCTGTTTGCCTTGTCTTTTAGTGTTTTATTGATTGTGGCCCGGCGGGAATTTTCGGCCTCATTCAGATACCCTTATGAGAGTGTAGGTATATATCGAGGTCATTATGGATTGAGATGGTTTGATATTTTTTTATTTTTATTTTTTTTTACGACACATGTTGAGGAGTCTTTCTTGAGATTGATGGAGGAGACATTGCGAGCAGAGCGAAGACATATCATCAATCTGCGTGCGTGTTGAGTGTGATAAAGATTGTATCGCTCGTATCTCCTATATATCCTAGCTAAATTCGTTCGGAGATTCGATTCAAGTCCTTTACTCTCTAATAGAGCGTCATATGATCGCCATCAGCTAGATGTTGTCTTGTCGCCATATATATCCATGGCCAGCTCTTCGAGCTCTCCTAGTCCCTTCTACCCCTATGCAGTCCTCCTCCGGGGATTTTGCCCAACGTTTCCAAAGCGCAATATGTGACCGTCGTCGAGCTGAAGTATGTATGTCCATGTCGAACCACAATCATCCGCCAAGCTTGCTTGGGAAGAATACATCCCTCTCGCCGTACCCATCGCCGAATCTTCGGGCAACGTCAATCTCCTTTACGATCCTTCAACCCGGGCCGCATGTTCATCCCAAGTTTGGCTTCCCCAGATTTGGTTCACACGTTCCACAACTTCACTTGGCCAGATGCCGTCCAGGCGGCTGGAGGTTCCCGCCCCTTCATGTCCAGAGGGAACATAGGTGCCGCTATCATCGCCATCAGCGAGGCTAACAGCGTCATCATCCGCGATGGTAGCAGAGCGGCGGGCCGCTGCCCCGCTCTCGCTGTAGTCGACGACGACGTTCTTTGATGCCACGATTCTGCCCTCATGGGAAAACTCAAAGTCCAGGGACACGCCGTTCGACGTCATCTTGATGATGTAGTCAAGACGCTTCACCCGCTGGCCCTTTGAGTTTTTCCACGAAGGCAGACTTTCGTAATCGGGGACTCGAGCCCAGCGTACTTGGCAGAGTTCCTTGACCGTCTCGTCGCATCTTTGGGATGGGTTGAGGGCGTTGGAGTAGATAAGACACGTAGTAATGTTGTCGGCCGGTTGATCGAAATCTTGATGGAACCCCAGTTCGATAGATTTACCCACTTCCATTGTATCGCCCTTGATAACTGTTAGTATTCTCCTGTTTAAACGGGTATATGTAGTGACTCACAATGCGCAGAAACCAGGAAGCCTGGTCAGCGGCGATGTAGGCACGTGCGATGGGGCACCATTCTTTGTCTCGAGCATCATGCTCCCCCTCAGTCCAGGGCGTCACGTTGCATATAGTCCCATAGCTCGCTCTCGCAATCCTCGAACGAATTGCCGACTCTTCTGTGTTGTCGGATTTTTCGAGCCCCCGGATGGCCGCACCTCGACAGACTGCTGTCCAACTGTTGCACGAAGAAAAGGAGGGAGAAGTCAGTTCCATTCCAGTCTGGTTTGACGGTAAGTACTTACGGTCGTGCTCCTGAGCTCTGCAAAATCTCAACCTGGCCCTTCAGGCCATCCTTCAGGCAGGTATACAAATGGCGACAGCGCCCGAAGCCACCCACCAAGATAATGAACTGTAGTATGAAAGTGAGTATTGATTTTTCAGTGATGAAATGCAGGTGCAGTTCATACCTTGGGCTTCTTCCTGTAGCGTTTTTGGACTTCTTGGATTTGTGTTGCCACGAGTTCCACGACCTGACCCATTATCGGGCTGAATACTTCAACAACCTCTTGACTATTTGTTCAGTCAGCAATATTCCTCAGACTCCATTGCGACAAAAGTCCTTACTTGCTGACGTCGATCTCTGGACAGCTGTACTGGTCGTGATCCCTCTTTCGCGAGGTGATGGGGATCTGTATAGTCCAGTTCCGACCGTCATTGCAGAATTGTGGCTTTATGCCGTTTTCCCACTCATTGTTTATAAGACGGGCTATTCCATCTTCTCCAAGTTGTTCCCAAGTGGTCCAAGCCATCTTGCTCTTTAGGAGGGTTCGAAACCGCTCGTCCACAAAGGTAGCACCGCAAAGCTTTCCTGTAGATAGGCGTTAGCTGTTTTGTCCGAATGACAGAAAGCATGTATGTCCTACCATCGCCTCTGACGCTTTCTTGTACTTTCATCGGGGTTTGGTTGATGACGGTATATGTAATGACATCCTGTACATTATGTGAGCAATCTCAGAATGTAGAGGTTGACCGGGAGTTGACGTACAACAGTGCCTCCACCGGCGTCACAAACAACAAAGTGGTCGCCAACCTATGAACGGCAACTTGTCAGTAATGCAAAAACTGGCCGTCACCATGATGCTCCCTTACTTTCATATCTGCTCTGTCAGACATGTCTTTCAGAGAAGCCAGAGCTGCAGCCTCCGGCTCAGAAATGAACTCCAGAGTGGTGTCATAAAGACCTCGAGGCTCTAGAATGCCGGCTTTTTCAATAGCCTCTTTCATGCGAAACTGAGCATATGCAGGCCAAATGGCTGGAAGAGTAACAATGACTCTGAATGCAGAGAGCTCCATCATGGAAGCGCCTTCAGCTCGCTCAACGCAGCTGAGGCTATACTTCCATAGCTCCCGCAGAAAATCGCTGATGACATCAACGGCATGAGTACCCTGCTCATCCAAAGATGACTTGGCACTTTGGAGGTGTGTCGACTCTCGCAGGTACTGTGGGATATCTTCTTCATCCAAAAGACAGAGCTTGAACCACTGGAGAGTGGATTCTCCGATAGGAGCGGCGTAGCCCCAAAGAGGTGGTTGGTCCTGCTCGGTGTAGGAGATTGAGGTTGAGACCTTTTCCTTGTCACTGTTGAAGTTGAAGTTGGACTTCCAGCTCGTTATAATGTCGACTTGGTCTGGTCGGGTTGATCTGGCCCATGCCACGCCTGAAAACCTATGCAGAGTCAGCGACTGATACTACATCACGATGGTGAAGCGAGCAGTGAGCTTACGTGGTTCCGAAATCTATGCCTATGACAATCGTAGGATCCCCTGCATGGAGCTGCCGTGTTCCTCTTCCAGCGCCTCTCCGACTCCGCGTGGGTCGAGGCATGGCCAAAGGGATTCTGGGCAGTATCAGAGGATTAAAGAGTGGAGTGCAGATGCGCAGTTGAAGGGGGGCGGGCTGGTCAGAATATGGCAGAAGCGGGCATCCAGTCAAGCGTTTCGAACTCCGCAAAAGAAGAAGATGAATCAGGAAAAGAAGTCAAGGAGGGAAACAGAATGAGGTGAGATGAAAGTGAGCGCGGGTGATTCACTTGCTCTGGCAGCTGGCGGATAGATACCTCAGATATCTGGCAGAGCAAAGGCGGTGCAACACGTGAATAATTCTGCCAAACACACCTGGATCTCTTTCCTCTCCCTTTCCTTCTTCACTTTCTCTTCTGTCCTTTCCCCTATCTCTTCAAGTTTCATCTTCCCCTACTGTCGCGGTTAGCTGACTTGGGCAAAACCAAGTCAGCTCTTCTCGTGTTTCAGGCCACGATGTCGACAGGCGTCGTCCAGAATTCTGACGACAGAGGCGGTAACATGCTCCCAGTTCTACCATTTTTTTGATTGCCAGAACTAACTGTCTAGCAGATACTGAGGAGGCCACGCAAAGAGAAATCGACGCCCAACTGGTCGGAGGCCCATTTCTTCGGTCCAGAGGAGGGGAACAAATCAGTTATGCTGAGGATAGTGAAACGGATGCTGGAGTCACTTCGACCATTGGTGAAAAGGATGAACTGGCATACGTTGAAGAAGATGACTCACCAAAGAAGACAAACACTATAACTATGGGGAACTTTCGAAAGACGCGTTCTCAAGCAGCTAAGGAGGAATCAATGGATTCAGGACCGCAGAAGCAAAGTTGCCCGCCAGCTGTACCGTCCAGGAAGAGAACCTGTAACGATGACGAAGGCGAGCTTCGAAAGCCTACCAAACGCGGCAGAAAGTCCTCAGCCAACGCTGAACTCAAGAAGTTCGAGAAGGATATCCGTGGATTGTCGGAGAAATTCGGCTCCAAGTTGCAGGAACTGGACGCGGCCAGGTCCGAAGCCCAAGATCTGCACGCAAAAGTCACATCTTTGGAGCAGCAGCTTGGACAAGCACAAAGAGAAATACAAGATTACGAGGATCACGAAGCATATCAAAGCCGTCAAATCGATATACTAAAAGAGGAATCAAGCAAATGGAGGGTTACGGCTTCAGTTCTCCTTGAGGAAGCAAAGCGGGACTCTGGTAAATACGTCAAAGTGTCAGATTCGGATATCACGGAGAGATGGAAAACGCTGTCTTTCAATATCCGCAACCTAGTCTCTCAGTATTTGACTGAGAGATTTGCCCAAGAGAAGGGTTTTCTCGAATTGCTAGCGAAAGGGCACCCGCTTTCCCCTTCAGACAGCGTTTTGAAACTACGAACAAGTATTCTCCGACAAGGGATTTGGAGATGCATAATTTCAGCTGCGTTCTTGGGGAAGAAGGGCATTTGGCAAGGAGGAATAGGCAATCATTTGACGAATTTTTTGTCTGGAAAGCGTAAACATCCCCATGATGCTGTCCCCGGGAAATAGCACAGTAACTAGTACTAACACAAATCCTTTCAAACAGATAATGACGTCGCCGAAGACACCCGATACTTCAGTATCATCAGTCAGATCAAGTCCAGAGCAGTCGCAGATCTCAGTGAAGAGCTTCACCTCAACGCAGAGGCTTTAGACGCACATGTCAACGGAATTGGCAGGAACCTCCGTTGTATTATACCAGGCCAGAAGATGGACAATTTCAAAGAAGAGTTGAAGAGACTGACTGCAGACGCAGTGGACCTTCATGCCATTATGATGAAGTCAAAAGCAATCTTTCAGGTGCAGTGGATCGGAGACAATAATGCCCCTTATGACCGGACAAAGATGGATTCTGTTCTTGGCGACATAGATGACGCCTTCGTCAAGTTCATCGAAGCTCCGGGTCTGGTAAAGATTGGTAATGCGGATGGGGAGCATTTTGAGCACAGCATGGTTCTTTGCCGATCTCAAGTGATACTACAACAAAAGGAAGTGCAAAAAATCCAAGAGAACGAAGTTCAAGGGAAGGAAGTCCAAGGAAAGGTTGTCCTAGGAAAGAGCTTTGAAGGAAAGGGAGCCCAGGACAAGGCGGCTCAAGCAAAGGAATCTTATGGAAACGAATTTCATGGAAAGGAATTTCATGGAAAGGAATTTCATGGAAAGGAATTCCGAGGAAAGGGTGTCGAACGGGACGTGGAGGTTGTTCAGGAAGACTCGGCCCATATGAGATTGGAAGGTCGGGGTGCTGCCGCCGACTCGAGGCGTTCACCGGGTATTACTGGCCGGTCTTACTATGACTTCAAAGAGGTTGATGATTGATGCAAGTTTCCAGTTGCAGAATCCAGAGGGATTTGCCAAATGATACCTGCGCAGTCTACAGACAATACAACAGGGTCCTACCTTAGGTTTTAGAGAAGACAGCGGCAAATGATGGCTCAGAGCGTAGATGGATTTGGGTCCATTTATTCTTTCAATCGTGATCCTCCTCTGTAATACCAGGACAGCCATCCATTTCAGCATCCGGATACGCCATCTTGCACCAGAAACAATACCGATGTCTTTCTCGCAGGTACATGACAAGACGAGCCAGTCTCGTGCCAAGATCGAGAGCATTGAACTCCTCCAGCTCTTCGTCTTCTTCGTCCAAATCCTCCGCAATAGAAAAGTTGACGTCCTTGCCCAAAGCCATCTTATCGTCGTCATCCTCCTCTTCGCTATTCTCATATGTCGGCAGCCGTGAAAGGGACTGCTCCAGCTCATGCTTCTTGCGTCGCTCGAGCTCCTTTTCCTCGCGATGACGAACCAAGCCGCGGTAAATTACGGGAACAGACTTGAGTGGCCGAGACGACGTTGTCTTGGGCTTTGACTTTGACTTTGAAGCTTCCTCTCCCGAAGAAGCAGAAGGAGGAGGGAGAAGAAGAGGGTTCTGGCTCAGCTCTGTGCTGGTCTTTTCTTCGTCCAGCCTCTCTGCCGTACGCTGCGCAGCACGCAGTTGTGCTTCCAGCCTCGCATTTTCCCTTTCCTCCCGCATCCTCTCGCGATACTCCAGCGGATCAATCTTTACGCTCTTAATCTCCCGCTCTTCAGCAGCTTCCTGGAGCTTCCTCTTCTTCTCACTCTCCATTCCAATACCGCCACGATCATCCTTGATGCTGATCTTGATAGGCTCCGCCTTGCCCGAGCCCTGCCCGTCTTCCGTCTTCTTCCCCAGACCGCCCCCCTTGAAGCCCATCTTGGCCATCATGGCAAGGCCCTTGCTCTTCTTGGCGCGCGCATCCTCGAGCAGGGACGTTGCCAGGGCTTTCTCTCTCGCGGCGGCTTCTTCCTGTGCGAGCTGTGCCTTGGATTTGATGATGCCGCGGGCGCGGGATTCTCGCTTGAGGCGTTCGGCGCGCTGGACGGAGGTTTCTGTTGTGGGGGGAGCGTCTTGGAAGGTCATGTTCATGTAGTCGTCTTCATCGTCGTCGGCGGACATTTTGGCTGGGGTTGTGAGATGTTGACCTGCTGTCGTGTGAAATCTCTCTTCGTCCTTGATGGCTGTATCAAACAGATATAAGTAGCTTAATTGAGAGAGAGTTGAAGCAGCAGATGATTTGCTGATGAAGGATTTCTATGAAGCGGTATGTCCTTCTCAAGTGAGTGCCGTCAGTGCAGTGAATGGGCTTTGACGTTGAAGTCCGGGGTGTGGCGTAGACAAGTGTGGCGCAGGAGCCTTCAACTCCAAGCTGTATCATCACGGTAGCCATATTACATGTACATATCCCTTCACCTCGAAGCTGTCCATCTCCAGTCCAAGGTATCTCTACTTCGTATATGAATCCATCCATATCATTTACTACCTACTATTGAGATCTGCAGACACACAATGCTACTTTCTCACTGGCACCTCTTGATAGCTTAGCTCTCTCCCTACCTTACCGAGCGACAATCAATCTGCTGCGCCACCTTGTGTGTGTTCGCATGCCCCCAATCCTTGGTCCTTGTGTGTTTCAGGGACGAGCCAGAACTCATCAGCTCGTGTTGACGTTTGACACAGAAAAAGTGCTCATACCATCTCGACGCTCTCTGTACTCCGTATGGTCCATCGACCCAGTTCTCACTGTGGCCAGAGAACAGACGACCGCGAGACAATACTGACTTGCGATGAAATTGCGGCTCCTCCCACCATTACTTGTACTAACCAGCCCCAGCCACCGCATTTAACGGCGGCCAGGGCGCTTCCACGAAACGGCCCTGCTTAACGGGTCTGCTGGAGCACCCAAGTCCACTTTCTCATCGTATCGCGTTGCAGCATCTTGTAACATCTGTACTGTATTCTGGAGTACTGTACCTGATTCTGCCCGGAAGCTCTCGGCTGCAACTGCACTGCAGCTCATTGCTGCAGCCTGCATCCCGCCTCGCTGCGCGCATGTCGCAAGCAAGATGCTCCATTAGCAGCACAGGTGGAATGGGGTCAAGACTCCATACATGTATAGTAGAAGGCGAAGAAAAAAACAGGGAAAAGGCGCCGCCAACACGACCTTATCTTACGCTTCAGCTACCACCAGCAGCCGTAAGGTAGTTACACAGAAGCAAAGCTGTTTGACTGCTTGACTGTCCACAGTAAACACTCAGCAGAACCCAGTCTGTCTATTTCCTCTCTTTACAGGTAATAACTTTTGTGCTTAACTTTTTCAACTGCTTTTACGTGTACTTTTGTATCACCGATACTCGAAAGTTGCGTCTCTTTTCAGTGGTTGGGGTTTTAGTCGCGCTGGTTGGGGGCTGTCTGCAATAAGCGGCACTCTGCATATCGTATTCAGCTGGTACCTTGCTTCAAGCTTGCCTGAAGTAGACCTTCGTGTACCCCAGCAAGGCACTGCTTCCTTCTCAGAAAGAACAAAAACATCTCCATCCTTCATTCTCAAACCACAACAACCACGACTACAACGCACCGTCCATCGCTTGCCTCATCACCGATGCGCCAACCCCTCAATTAAACATCCCCGCCGGCAACACCCTCACAAAGCCGTCAGCAAAGAAACAGAAACAAAGGAAAGAGACGCTCTCTGAATCGCAATAGCCATGGGCTCCTCAAGCCTCCTCGAATCGTTTGGCGACGCCGTCAGCCAAAACGGCCGCGCCTCTCGGCACCACCACGCGAGCGGCAGCACCCGCCGCCACAAGAAGCGCCGCTCCTACTCCCACTCGCCCTCGCGATCGCGCTCTCGGGACCGGTCCCGCGACCGCGACCGCTCCAGGTCTCGCTCTCGCTCGCGCACCCGCGGCTTCTTTAGCGAAGGCGGCGGCGGTCATGGCCATCGCAGGAGCACCGGCTCCCGAGGCTCCTTCTTTGGCGTGGGCGGCAACCACAGCCGCTCCAGCTTCTTCGGAAGCAGTACGTTTTCTTCCCCCTCATCAATCATCGTCACCAGAGGAAGAGAGAGAGAGAGAGAGACTGGGTAAAACTAACAGGGAAGCAAAAACAGGCCGCCCGTCGTACTACAAACGCTCCCCCCGCGAGGGCTTCGTCCAGCGCTGCATCAAGCAGCTCAAGCGCCTCCTCCGCGACCTGCAGCACTACGCCAAGCGCCACCCCTGGAAGGTCTTCTTCCTCGTCATCCTGCCCCTCGTCACCGGCGGCGCCCTGACCGCCCTGCTCGCCCGCTTCGGCCTGCGCATCCCGCCCGCCCTCGAGCGCATGCTCGGCGTCGCCAAGCGCGCCGCCACCGGCGACCCCTTTAGCGCCGTGGGCGACGCCGTGCGCATGGCGGGCGAGTACGGGCACCACGGTAACGCCAGCGGCAGCGCTGCTGCGTATGCTGCTGGCGCTGGCGGTGCTGGTTCTGCGCTTGCGAAGAATGGCCATGCGTATGCTCGCGGGGCGACTCGTGTTGAGCGGGGGCGGAGCGGTGATGTGCGGTGGGAGCGCAGGGCTACTACTTATTATGATGATCGGGAGCGTGAGGGCGGCTTTATGGATGGCATTCGCAAGGGAGTGTCCAAGATGTTTTCATGAAAACGGTCATGATGTGCTACGAGATGAGATGAGTGTGGTGGGCGTTTGAAGACGCCTGATGCTTTACACGACTGGATACGACCTTCTTCTTCTCCTTCTCTTTTACTCCCCCTCTTCTTCTCTTCTACCTTTCATTAGCTTATGATGTGTTACGGCTTATGACTATTTTTGTATGAAGGCAAAGCGAGCTGCTTGCATATATTATATACCTACTGGGCAGATATTCGAACATCTACATTTCCCTCCATATCTGCTACGCACCATTAAATCCAAGATTACAACTGCCTACATCATGCCCGGCATCTACTTGATCATCCATCCATGAAGTCGCATCTGTGAACGTTTCTTGTTTCTTTATAAAGTGTGCTCAATCGAGCATTTCAATTCCGCTACATAGCTGAATCCGCTACGCATCTCTCCCCTGACTGTAATAAAGCAACTCTACTCCGTATCCGCAGCCAAATCGGCAACCTCATGTCAAAAGTAGAACCGGCCATCTATGAAACCTTGATGTCCTGCAACGTAACCACCAGCGACCCTCTAGATGGAATCATCCACGATCCAGATAGATCGCTAGAAAAGGGAAAAAGAAAAAAAAAATTTCAGAAAAGTCGACATAATTCGTCGAAATATAAAACCTCCCCAAGCCGTCCGAAAGCCCCTGCCGCCATCCGGTCTACCGACCATCCAAGACAAAGGGACGAAAACAAAGCAAAATGAATCGAAAACAAGAAGAAAATAACTCATCGAATTTGTCGTGCAACAAAGACAATCTTCGTGCTTGTCGTTAAACGCCAATCCCTCATCGTCCTGTTGACTCATGCGGCTTACTGCAAGAGACTCCCAAGTGATTGTGGTCATCTTCGCAGGTCTGCAGAAAGAGAAAAGATCGAGTCTCAGTCCCTGTCACGGACACAGGCCAATGGTTGTTCAATGAGCAATAAACAACTGGCGAGCACACGGCGGCGAGGTTTCAGGAGATCCAGTATCCATGAGGCGAAGTAGGCGAAAAAAAAAGGTTTTTTTTTGGAAAGCATGCGCTACATAGAATACATATAAGTTCGTCAAAGCAGAGTCTCCGTCATCGGTAAGACTTGCTTTGTGATTCTTCGTGCCTTTCTCCTCTCCTTAGCAAAGTTCAGGTGGCCTTGTCTTTATTGTCTTTATCGTCTTTATTCGGTTTCCAAAACTGCATCATCCGACTCAGCCTCTTGCTTTTGCTCTTGGACTTTTTCGACTCGGGCTCATTATCCAGGGTGACCTCCATAGAGAGCTTGCTCCTCTCGCCGTGGGAACTGCTAATGAGACGGCTGAGGCTGGCCAAGCTCGATCGTCTGCGCCCAAAGGGAGCCGACATGGACACTGGACGCTGATCACGAGCAAGAGGTTGACGCGGTCGTGGTGCGGGAATAAAGGTGCTGTCACGGGTCACGGCAGAGGTGCTTGACGCGATAGACGGAATATCGTAATCCATCGAGATCCTCACTTCCGGTCCCGGCTCTCCCATGAGCAGAGAGTGGAAGCTGTCGTCAGTGACGGACGAAGGAGCCGTGGAGATGCGCTGGGCGTCAATCGACATTGGCGTTCGTGGAGAGGGATGGGGGGACGAAGCATAGCTAGCCGAGTAAGGGCTGAGCGGTGAGATGCCAGCACTGGGGAGAACGAGAGGCTGATCATCCACTGGCATGTCGACAGTGGTAGGGAGCTGTCGCGGAGATGGGGCCGAGGGCGCTCCTGAGTCGACGGAGTCCCTGCGGCCTTGGAATGTAGGGGCCCTGAAAATAGGCATCGAGAACTCTTCGGCGATGGTTTCATCCTGAAGTGAGGCCTTGAAAGCATCAGCCCGGGCTGCTTGCGAGCTGAACGATTCTCTGTCCATCACGCCAGCGCTTCGGCGGCGCATTTTGCCCAGCGCCTTGTCGCTGGGGCCGCCAAAGGAGTCTTTTGAAACAGGCATCACAGCGGGAGGTGTCGTCTCGCCGTCGGATTCTTCACTGGTCTCCTCGCTGGTTTCGAGTCTGGTCCTGGCAAGGCCTTTGCAGTCGTCATCCTCTTCATCCTCCTCAAACACGTCAGCCATGGTGGAGCTGCTGCCGAACCGGTGCATAGAGGAGCGGAAATCGAAAGGAGGAAGATCAGGGGCCGACTCGGCACGTCGGTGATAATGCATGCCTGGACCACTGAAGCCCTTCAATCCTTGAGCGCTGTGAAGGCGCCTCCTGCTGCCCGGAGTGCCTGCAGCGCGTTGAGCAGCCTCCCACTCGGGGTTATAAGACAAGGGAGTGTTGAAAGGACCAAGAGCGGCGTCCAGGTCAATCATGGGAGAAGAGACCTCTTCTGAATGCCGCTTCGGTGGCTCGGAAGGCTCAGGCAAGGGTGGCGATTCCGTGATGCTGATCGTGGGCGGTTCAAATGAAGGTTCCCGGATGTCCATTACGGTTTCATCCTCTTCTTCGTCGTCAGGATGGGACACGGATGCTGGGGGCGTCGGTGGTCGAACTGCGCTTGATTTGCCACGCTTCTTGTGACTCTTTAAGGGCAGGATGGAGCCAGCCCAGCCCTTGGCCTTCTTCTCCTCCTCCTTCTTCTTCTCCTTCTTCTCCTCCTTCTTTTCTTTCTTGCTCTTCTTCTTCTTCTTATCACCCTTTTTGCTTCCCTTCTTGTGCTTCGATGGAGGGGCTTCTGAAGTATCTAGTGAAGACTCCGACCCACGGTCAGAGCATGAAATACCATCCACAGGGCGAGGGGCGCAATCGGAAGAGCTGGAAGAGCTTGGTCGCCTCTTGACGGGAGACCCAGAAGCGAAGGCATCTAGGCCAAAGAAGGACCAGCGTTTGGCAGGTTTGCTGGGGGTAGACACGTTTGACTCTGTAGCGTCAGCGTCGGCGATGTTGAGAAGGGTAGGGATCGAGTTTCGGCGGCGGGGAGACATAGGCGGCTCCTCGGTAATTTGCAGCTCTGCGGTGCGTTCCAAAATAGCGCCTGCTGTGCTGGGTCTTGACTCCTGGGGCTCACTCGCTGTCCGCGAAAGGGGAGCGGAGCCATCTCGACCACCGTTGGAAGTAACCGAGATGACGGAGGATACGCTGCCAGAGACCGAATGGCCCGGCCGCGCGGTAATAGTGCTCGACGTGTCATTGGATACGAGTGACAGCGGCCGAGGAATGAATTCCAGAGTATCCGAAAATCCAACCTTTGACCGCATCATGGGCTTGCCCATCTTCCAGGCCTCGTCGGGTGCCAGGAGAGGCGCTTTGGAACTGCCTGCGGCCCTGTCATCTTTTCCGGATTGCACGGGCTCCGGCAAGGGAAATTGGAAGCCAATGTTAGGCAGCTCCTCTTTCCGGCCCATGATCGTTGGGCTACTCGGAGCACTGTTTCCCTGAGGCAGAGAGCCGATGGCTGGCGGCGCAAAGAGCATGGGGAGGTCGGTTGCCGGAATAGTGGCAGACATGCCTCGGCGATGTCCTCTGCGCGGTGGCTGTAGAGCAGGCGCCTTCAAGTCAAACTCATTCTTTGGCGGGCTAGTGCTCATGACGGCAATCGTGCTCCCTTCGCGAAGACGACCGCCGACAAACTCGCTGCCGCCCCTTCGGTGGCCATGGCCCATTGGACGATTGGCCGCAGACCCGGGGTTTTGGTTTTGCTTGGCGGAGTTTGGAGAATGAGGCGGACTGAGAAAAGCGCGAGGATCCGGAGGGAGGGAGGCGCCCGGATTGAAGCTGAATGCCGGCAGCGCCGCGTGTCGAGAGCCATCCACGGCTATGCTAAGGGGCCGGTGCATCTCGACGGCGGACATGGGTCGCCTCCGCTTGGCGATCGAATCGTGTGACGGTGTGGGTGGCGCTGCGGGAAACGCGAATTGAGGGTTGGGAGGAGGCAGTGCGCCATGATGGGACGCAGAGCCTCGGGCGAGAGAGGCGGTAGTCGCGTCGTCCAAGGAAGCAAGATAGTCGACAGCCCCCTCCATGTTGTGGACAGGCGGAGCAACGGCTGCTCGCTCGGGGGTGTAGAGTGCGGTTGCCATCATTGCTTCCGGCCGGAATATGGCATGAACATGGATGAGTGACTAGATTGAGTGATGGACCATAGAGAGGGCGACGAGTGTGCTATGGTGATTGCTGACTGGTGACCGATGACTGATGACGTTTTTTTTTGTGTGTGATTTAATTTTTTCTCGGTCGATTGTGGCTTGGTTGCGTTGCTTGCTCTCCTCGTTGTCTGAAAAAAGTACAGATGGCGGCGATATAAAACAGGCCGAAGCAGACAAAGTCGATGAAATCCGAGTCTATAGATCAAAAGAGGCACGATAAGCGGTCGACTTCACAGACGGACGCTGCGTCGAGCAAAGCGTTTGGCGATGCGTACCAGCGTATCAACGGCGGCTTCGAATGGTGCGGAAATGAGGCGCGATAAAAGATGTGAAGAGAATAGAACAACTGGATGAAGAAGAAAGGGTAAAATGCAATGCTGGAGAAGATCAAGATCAAAAATCGGGGGAAATGAGCGGACGGCCAAAACCAGCAGCAACTCGAGGCGAGCAGCGTAGCTGGAATTGCACCAAAGGTGGTTAAAGTTTCGATGGCGCGGATGGAGAATAGAGAATAGGAATGGGATAGAAAGAAAGAAAAGCTGGAGAGAGGAGAAGAAGAGTCTTGGAGAGAATATGGGGGGCGCTACCCAGAGGTACGGCCCAGCAGGTACCTGCCGACAAGAGGCCCGGATCCCTGCCCGCCGTGCCTGTTTGTGCAAGGTACAAGCACCTTACCTCGCGGTCCCCACAGCGACATGCGGCCTGCGCGCCTTCGCCATCCCGAAAGCAGCGCAACCACCCCTGCGGCCGCGTACCCTGCGCGTACTGGGTACATGCACGCGGGCTGGCGCTAACAGACGAGCATGCCAGGAACGGCGAGGTAGCGATACTTGGGGTTTACGGGCAGGTCTCCGCCCGCAGCAAAGTATCGGCCGCGTTTGCCACTGCGCTAGAAGCCCCGATTTTAGAAGAACGCCCACTAGCCGCTCGGCGCGCCCACACAGTGTCCAAGCCTTGCAGCACGGCGCTACAGCAGCGCTACAGGTAGTGCTACAGGGCCTGCGCTTTGCCGAGAGCACAGTGCGCGTACCTTGTCTGCTGCAGATGGGAGGACACGCGAAGGACAACAGGCACTGCACCTTACAGGTCAGAATAGCAGGTGATCTTATCCGCTAACGCAGGCGTGCAGCAGGTGCATCTGCATCCTCAGCCGCCGACTGGGCGAGGATTGATTGATTGATCTCTCTCAATTGACCCGTCCCTTGTCAGCCCTTTCGCGAGTGCTGTCCGGCGGGCAGTCCTTGTCTTGCCTGCCTGTCTTGCCTGCCTGTCCCGTTGTGTGTTCGGCTATGGTCTGTTCTGCTATCTTGTACCTGTACTTTGACTTTGTGTCAGAATCATCTCTCTCTTCGCTGCATCTTACTTGGCAAACTCCTACAACCCCCGACCGATGCCCAGGGCAACGAGATCAGATAGAGAGCCGCCGCTGCGAGTGGAGGTAGAATCAGCGGCCCCTCGTCCCGACGTCGTATTATCTCTGACGACTTGGGCAGGAAACACGCGCATCCAACAGATTCAGCGTCGCAGCGACAGAAGAAATGAAGACAAGCGAATCCAACGGTAGAGCGTCGCCTTCCTATTGCCATCAGCTTGCAGCTGTAGCCAAGGCCTCGCAGGCGGCTATCTAGTACAGATCCAGCACACTATCGATCCAAGGATGCATACGAAGTCTGACGAAGAGGGCACAATCGCACATCGCCGTCGCTATTATCCCTCGCCCGCCCTGCTCGATGCTCCCCTCGTGACCGTGGACCGTCAATAAGAGGTGTGAAACAATGGGCCAACATGCGAATCCAGGCGAGCGCCAAGTACATTCAATACAGTGCATGCGGAGAAGCGCCCACTACATCTCGATGACCTTCCCTTTTCTCTCGCGCCCTTGCCTTGGAGGTCCATCAGCTGGGGCTGACAGACGGGAAGGGAAGGGCAGGGCAATCCTCGACTCTGGACGATTCCTCTCGGTCACGAGCTCCGTCGGCAATCGACCTTCTTGACGCAAGACGGAGACACAAGAGTCTTGCCTTGCCTTGCCTTACCTCTCTGCCCTACCTTACTTGGATACGAGTACATGTGAGTACTTGGGACACACTTTGTGTCCGTAGATTCATGCGGCACAATATACAAGTAGTATGCACACCAGGCTCCGCCTGACAGGGGTCATGGGGAGGCCCCAAAGGAGATGTGCAGAGAGCAACTCTAGCCACAGTTGGGTGCAAGTTGCAGTCGACAATCAAAGGCTGTCGTTCCTGGGCCTATCCGAGGCCGCAATCGACATTTGCTTGGTATTGGGACAATCTTAGCTCGCGGCTCAGCTCGCATCGGCAAACCCTTCCATCTTGCAGCTAGCCTGAGTGTCTTTACCTGTTCGTTTCTGATTCCTTTGAGAGACAGATTTCGGTACAATATGTACTCGTATTGGCTTATTTCCCTCTCATCCTCTTTGCTTTTCGTGCTACTGCCTGTACTAGCAAGACGTCAACGGGCCGCCGGCCCTTTTTCGTGTTTCATAGCCTTGCTCCTGTCAACGGCTGCCAAGTGCTAGCACGCTACGTGTATTAGTCCAGTTCGTGATGTCTACCGTGTGCTCCGTGCCAATGAGCACTTGAATGAACGTTTGGCCCTTCCTTTTCCCAGGCTACGGAATATTTTTCGTACTTGACGGATGGTGTCTCATCTGATACGTACAGGCTATGCAGGCTGACGGACAATTTAGCCCTGCTGGGCCGAGCATAAGAAACCGTGTTCTTACAAGTATCATGGCAATTTGCCGGCAAAGGGCCCAAAACCACTGCCCTTGAATGGCGGGAGGCCCCCGTGGAGGGATCCACCTCTTTGTTGTCCAGGGGCCCCGTATCATCGGCCGAACGTCTCTTCGCAGCAGGGAGACAGAAGGTATGTACATACTACCAACTCTCCGTCATCATGGAGGTGTCGATGCGTGGCTTCTGGATGCAGGTTTGGAATATGTAATACTTTACTGGGCAGTCAGCCGCCAATCCCAGGCATTCTCCAGGGCAACGACTTCGAGATGCCCGCTAGAAGCGCAGTGCGCATGTACGGATGACATGACAACCGGCGATTGAACGAGGACGGGCCAAGGGGCTCCGTCTTGATGCTTTTTGTACCTGCATTGACGGGGTGTGCTGTACATACTATCTCGTATATGTAAAGAGTACTTGGTGTGCTTCCTTGTCCCCATGCAATCAGTCCCAGCCTCTCCTAATATCGTGAGCGGCAAGGGACTACGTGGCACAAAGCCCTTTTTCCCGTTTTATGTTGGGAACAGATTAAAGAGTCCACCGATCGCCCAGCCGATGTTTGAAGATTAACTCGGAGCCTGAAACAAGGCAAATTAAAAATAGACAACGCTCAGGCCATGCTATTTGCACGTTGCCATCTTCGAGGTCGGTTGTCTCTTTCTTTGTGCTCGTACTGCAACGAGAATCACCTGCAAGCAGCGAGGCTACGGCTGCTGAATCCCCCCCCCCCCTTTTATCACCTACTTCTCTATGACGCTGGTTTTGCTGGCAAACGAGATAATTTCTGGGTAGGATCGCCCTCTTCAGCCCGCATCACTCGCTTCACTCGCTTCACGCCTGCTGGGTGGTAGGTATCGAGGAGACTCCGTGTGCGGGCGTGTTATGTACCTCTCCTCCTGCCGAAGCGGTAACCTCAACACACACTGTAGGAGCAACGCATGATATCAGCTTATTTCGAAGCATTGTCGTCGTCTCTGACAGGGGAATCAACTAGAAGCAATGTTCATCAATGCCGTATGCACTTGGTGACAACGCGCAGAGCAGTCCTTCCCTTCGATCTTCGTCTTCGAGAAGAATAAGAACGGAAAATATTACGGACAGCCCCTGCATCTGCAGCGCAACACGAATACCGGGGCCGGCTCCCGTTCATGTCTGCGTTGTCAGTGTGTGAATGGACGGCACGGCCTTGGGGACTGAAGGGTGGAACCGGAACCGCCGCCGGGGCTTCAGCTTTGTGAAAGTTGTGCCCGAGTAGAGAAACGGTGATCGGTATGAGCTGTACATACAGAAGAATCGGCACGGGCTGGCCGGACGAGGCTGCCACGGTGCGAGCAGAATCGGAATGGGTAGCGGTATCTGATGCTCGAGCGCCGGGCATGTGTCCTGGCGTTGATGCTGTGTAACCACCCGGACGTGACAGGAGGGAGATTGCCGTTGGCCAGCTGCAGAATGGCAAGATCGTACATACCCGTAGGTACCCCGAGCCCGCTGTAATTGAGCCTGGAGGACGGCCACTACAGCGCCTACAAGCCCCGTCCAGTGCCTTCCATCAGGTTGCCGGACCTGTCAGGTACAAATCAAGATCCCCCTTTGGAAGTGGAGAAGCGCCTTGTCAGCGCTCACCGCCTTGGCCCCGCATCTGCAGTTGATTGGCAAAAAAAAAGTTCGAGAAAAAAATTGGCTTCATCCAGCGGAGAGAAGAAACGCAGCTCGAATTACTGCCGCTTGATCGATCTCCAGTCAACCAGGGATCATACGAGACCAGTCATTCACAATGGAGGCCGCAGCAGAGAAGCCCGTTGCGAAGCCAACGAAGCCGCTTGGCATGCGCAAAAACGGTACGCGCGTTTTCCCCAACCTGGTGCTTCATTCAATCACCACCGGCTTCTTACTGACACGGAGTTTAACAGGAATGCAATGGCATGCGCCGAAGAAGGCTTTTCGCCCGACTGCCGGTCTGTCCTCTTATGAGCAGAGACAAAAGGAGCGTGCCTTGATGGCACAGGTGAAGGCAAAGGAGAAGGAGATGAAGCAGGAGAAGGAGGAAGAGCGCCAGGTACGTTTGTGCTTTTGCGCTTTGGACAAATGCGATTCGTTTCAGCAATTCTCCTGCTCACAGATAATCACAGAGACGAATCCAAGCAATCAAGGACAGGCGAGCAAAGAAGGAAGAGAGGGAGCGATACGAAAAGATGGCCGAGAAGATGCACCGCAAGCGAGTGGAGAGATTGAAGCGCAAGGAGAAGCGAAACAAGCTCTTGAACTCATGAGCCGAGCGACGCCCGCACCGAAGAACGACATTGGGATTGAAAGTATGACGGTCCTGCGACGAGTACGAGAATATTACTACTATCGGCAAAGCCCGCAGCGGAATCTTGATGCTTGCAAGAGATGCACACTTCGGTATCCGGACGTGGACGACCATGGGAGCTGCATGCAGTCGGACGGGGGTTATGGCGACAGTCTCTTCACCGCCATCGTACCTCGACGGCTGCTCGCAGTAATCTGAACTTGGATCTTCTTCTTAGTCTGCAACAAAATGGGACTGCTAGCAGCTCTTGGGGGGCTGTGCTTGAAGGACTCTGCATCAACAGTTTCATCCCGGAACGATTCGGTATTTGGTTTCGGGTTACTGGAATAAGCGGAGAGGTGACTGGGATTCTTCGAACTGCACCAGGGCTTTCAGGATAACCAAGCTCTATCACTGGGGGAACATGCAGTCTTGGTGTCAACGTACCTGCATCTTGCGTCTTGCTGCTCTTATGTCCACTTATGGGGTGGTTTTGTCAGTTTTCAGTATCTGGGGGGGGGTTGCATTTGCACGGAGTTGGGAGCACAATTGGTTCAATATCTCAAAACAGGTTTACCGAAACAATGTCCAGAGCAAAAAAATAAGCTTTGCTAGAAATATCAATACTTATTTGTTACATGTGCAAAGCGACACGACGACTCAAAATTGCCCTGAACCTTATTGCTTGACACTGAATACCCAGTCCATCATGCGCTTGATGGCATGTGAACTTCATCAAAGTCTTGTCGTCACTCGCTTGCTGCTGGCCGAGGCCCCACTTGTTCTTTCCCTACCACCCAAGCTCTCTTCACATCCCGCTTCTCTATGGACCAAATCCCGATCCAATGCATGCACGATGCTCGCATGGAAAAGGGGGCCCCTCTCACCGTCGCCACGGCCCAACCAGCGGCAATGCCGACCCAGAACGTGCTGCCCGACCCTCCGTCAGCCCCAGCCAGGCCTGGGCGGCACCGTGTCCAGCGGTCGCTGACGGACTTCATGGGCGACAGGGCGCGCCGGGGCAGGGCGGACGATGACGAGACACCGACGGCGACGACACTGCAGCAGACTCAGCGCCAGGGACAGCCTCTCGATCGGGTGCAGACGCTCGATCGCATACAGACGCACAGGATGCGGCGCTCAGTGGACGTGCCGCGCTCGGGGGCCGTGACGCCCATCATCAGCCCGAATCACAGCCGGCGCGCCAGCTTGCTGATACCCAAGGATGGCGATGACAAGCTCGACTTTTCGCGGATCGGCAAGGAGGACAAGGACAGAGAGAAGAACAAGGCGAAGGACAAGCTGCAGGGCGACAGGGCAAAGGACAAGGCCTCGTCTGGCACCGAGTAAGGAGCCCTCCCAAGAGATGCTGGAGAAAGCAAGAACCACTATTCCAAGCTGTTCTGTGCTAACTGCGAGTCTTCAGCGAGCTGCGACAATCCCTCGCGGAGCTCAGCAACTTCTCCGCCGAAACGGCGCAACAGCTAGACCAGACGCACTATGCCTTGCTTGAGAAAACGAGCAGTCTGCAGGTCATGGTCAAGGCCCTCAAGGACCTGGCGCAGGCGTCGTGCGACCTCCAGATGGGATTCGATATGGCTACGCAAGAGCTCGAGACGGACGTTACAAACCAGCTACGGAATATCGGGCATTTCGAATCACAACAGTCCACGATCGAGACTCTGCAGAATCGCATACACCTAGGAAGGCAGACCGCCGACAAGCTGGCCGCGCGAGTGGATGTGGTGCGCAAACAAATCGAGGGCTGGGAGCGCGCCGACAGGGCATGGCGGGAGAAGACGCGCAAGCGGTTGAGAATCACCTGGGCGGCTCTGTTGACCGTTGTCTGCATCATCGGTATTCTGTTCATGTCCTTCAGCTACAGAGGTGCTACACAGGGCGACTCGATAGGGTCTCGCGGCTCGTGGAGAAACACCACGCCCGATTCCAAAGGCCCCGAGCAGGACCTTGCGGCAAACAGCAACGGCGACGGGGCGGAGGTGACACGGGCTTGGGAAGTACCACCAGCTGACGACGAGCCGCTGCGGATATTTGACGAGCTATGACCGGGCCTGCGGCGACGGCGAATCATCAACACAAACCTGTCAACACTGTATGGAGCGCAACAAGACTGAGGTCTGCCTGCCAAGCCGCAGAACGGCCGCAGCCTCACATGCGCGTCTGTTACGCAGCACCGGATTCGACAGCGCCAATCGGATTTGCAGTCAATAGCTCGGGACAGGAACCGCTTAGGCACGAGACCAGTCCTCGGCGTCACCGAGCAAGCTTGGCCCAGCTGCTGGTCACGGTGGCATTATGCGGAGACGGGCTTGTAGCACTGCTTTTGGTTCGCAACACGTACGCCTTGCAACCCTGCGTCGGCTTCACTGCCACAGTGGAGTGGAGGACGAAGCAGCCAAGCATTCCAGATTTCGAACTCGGACGACGTGCGCGTTATTCCTCGGCCAAATTGCTTGGCGCGTGCGGATGTTTGCTGCTGTATCTGGGGTTGGTTTCCGAACAAAGAGCGAGATTTATCTGGTTGTTTGGCACGCGAGGAAGGCTGTTTTGGATACAACTGCGGATCTTTGATGTGCCTGCCTACTTCCCTGGTCCATCTTGGGGAATTGGAAGATCTGCCGTTTTCTGGAGAATAGATCAGGAACATCCCAATTGCAGAAGCCATGCCGATCGGCTCGGTATGGAGACACTACGATGGGTCATTGGGGCAGGAGAAGAGTCGGCGGTCTCAGAAGATGAGAATCGTGTGGAGAGGGTGTAATTGCGAAGCGCATGAGGGTATTTGCTTTGTGTGTCTGGGATTTATGGTTGGTTGTCGGTTATAGAAGGCATTTGATACCACTTTGTAATTTAACTGCTGCAGCCTTTCAAGCTGGGAACAGAATATATTTATCTTGTAAGAGAAGACAGTGGAATGGCTCTGACGGCTGTGATATCAGAACCACTTCGTTTTGACTTGATCTGAGATGAGTTGCGAAGTTCGCCTTCTACATTGTCTAAAATGTGACAAGGGAAATGAATCTGGCTGCGCACGTTGATTGAGAGCCTTGTCTTTCTGGTCTTTGTCTCGTTGGGAACGTATCTCCAGTTACGAAGCAGTACGTACTGCAATTGATTGTAAGCGCCTATTGCTAAGACAAAGTGGCTGGGAATGTCTCTGGGCTCAATCCAGTGTGTGTTGGCCGACGTTGGCTTTTCTCGGCATGTCTCCCGGTTTAGTAGACGGTAATTTGACCGGCGAAATGCGTGGCTGGGGAAGGATCTTGGGGGCGGAGCGGCTATTTTATCATTGGATGGTTCGTTGAATTGGCATCTCGAGAAGCTTGACATGATCAGTGTGCTCCTGCATGTTCGGATCAAGCTACCCGGGATCAACAGGAAGATGAGAGTTTGGGAGCAGAAACCCATCTATAACTTCAACTTCCTGCATGTCTGAAGACAATCCCTTTCGTGGAAATTGCACGGGAAAGATCACGCTAGGTATCTCTGCGCTATTACTTCGTAGGTAGTAGGCGATTGGAACTGGTCTATGTACTGGTTCTAATATCTCGCTCGACCTGGCGGTGATGTCATACTGAAGGCACGGGTCTTTTCCCGGCTTCTCACCTCCCTTCTTCTTCGCTTCATGATAGATAGAGAATGGCCTGCAGGCCCCGTGGAATCACGCCTCTGCATGGATGGACTGATTCCTTATTCCCTTTCGGCAGTCGGTCGGCTTTGCGGCTGGAGAGTTGCCGAACGAACTGCAGCAAAAAGAGCCAGAGCGAGAAAAGAGCTGACTGCACCCGGTGGCTTGGATGCTGCAGTCCAACGTCATGCCATGTTCTGCGACTGGGGGCAGATTCTGTCCTACCGGAACAGAACAAACCTGCAGCAGTTCGGGAAGCATTTTTGAGCGCTGTAATGCCTGTATTGATCAAGTAATGTACTCTGCAGGTTGGTAGCACTACATGCCTGGGCAGTGATATAATATGGGGCGGAGCAGGGCTGCGGACGCGATAGTTCTTGGTCATCCTGTGATTATGATGTATTTTCCTCTTCTCTCTTTTTCCCATCATCATCCTTCTTATACCCGCAGTCGGCCATTTTCGTGCTCCCGCGTCACCCTCTTGATTTCTGCTGTCGTCTTCGTTGCGTGAGCGAGAACTTGACTAGACGAGAAACTGCGCCTCCTCAGTCGTCCCCGCGTCATCGAAAATCGCAATTCTTCATCGAGGAGGTTCTGCTGCTATAGTACGAGCACAGCTTACTACATACTGCAGGCTGCCTTGCTTCGTACATTCCATACTACCTATAGCGACCAACTACTGTACGCTATTTACCCCGCCAAGGAGATTCAGCCGATTTCCCTCCATCATCCAAAAGCGCTGGAGCTGACGACGGGCTGAGCCAACTTGCTGTCTGTCTGTCTGTCTGTCTGACTTCTGAGACCTGCAGTTCATTCGGAATTCCTCTCTTTTCTGGGATCTGCCTCTTTGGCTTTGTTGCCGGATTCAATTTCGCTGGCCATGACAGTCGCCGAACAGCAAGTGCCCGATGGCGGCGCTGCTGTTACGCTGCCGATTCGCGCCAATGGCTCAGACACGGCGCCGACGTCAAGCAATGCGCTGACGGGCAAACAGGAGCACTGTGCGTTCTACTCCCCTTCTTGATGAGTTGATTTGGAACTTGTTCTCTCCCTACAGCTAGATCCAGAGCTAACTAAAGCGCCGCACATTCACAGACCTGAAGAGGGAGCTCATATCCGACCAGGTCAAGTGGGAGATCAGCGAGCTCAACTCGCCGACGGCTCTGCAGCGCTTCGGCGCGCCGTTCAAGTCTGAGCAGGGCGAAGTCCCTCCCCAAGAGTCCGAGCTGCCGATCCTGCGATACATCTTCGTCCACCATGTTCGCGACTTCCCCTTCCTGGACAAGGCCAGGGAGAAGGAGTTTTGGCAGGACAAGCTCCAAGTCGTACGTTAAACGCTGGCATCATCTCTCCGGCGGGGGGTTCGTTTGACGCTGACGCGCACAGGGCAGTTTCTCGAGTCGTTTGCCACGAAGCAGATTTCCTCGTCCGAAGACCGTCTGGAAGAAACGAAGCGCCGGAAGCTGGCCATCAAGGCGCAGAAGCTGGTCGAGCTCATGATGGTCTCGGGTATCCCCACCTCGTCCGGGTTCGAAGAGCGCATCAAGTTTTCGGAAATCGAAATCGTGGACAGCAACGCCATCGACAGGGGCGTCATGAACACGCTTCCTGAAGGGAACTACATCAACGGCTGGGACGTCAATGTCGCCGGTGTTCGCGTTACCTCTGTCAAGCGCAACATCAGGTATCACAAGCACGCAGAGTTCATCCTCCGCATCAAGCGAAAGGGCGAGCTGGAACACTTTGTTGGTCGACGGTATGGCGACTTTGCCAGATTGCACCGAAGACTGCGCGCTGAGCTGCCTGGGAGGGTGTTGCCTGCGCTGCCAAAGAAGAACAAGTCTGACACCAGAATGAGCGGGCTGCTACCGTCTTTTTCCGGCGCAGGAGACGACTCTGATGCCTCATCTGTGTCTTCCATGTCCACTCGGAGAACGAGAATGTCGCAGAACTTGAGCGCCTCAGGAGGGCTGCTGTCCCCCAAGGGTGGTGAGTATCCAACCGGGAACGGTGCCCTCAAAAGAAAAAGCAAGCTCGGAGGAATCGTCAACTGACTGGTGCGGTAGCTACACATGGTCATGGATCAATAAGGTCAAGGAAATCTAGTCGCTCAAAGAAGATAGCTTCGCCCCGGGTATCAGTCGACGGCCAAGCAAGCTCTGGAGCGGCGACCCCTGACACGAAAAAGGAGGTTAGCATCTACCCACTCTGAGATCCCAAGAAAGTGGTCAAGGCTGATATGAACCTGTAGATTGTCCTTTGGCGAGAGAACCAAAGAGTCTCACTCCGTGCTTTCCTACGATCTCTTCTCCACAACCCTCAAGTTGCGAACACCAAGGCCATGTCGGACTTCCTAAGTGGCGATCCCATCACGCCGACAGACGAGGATGTGGAAGACATCTCGAGGCGCAAGGCACTCGACGAGAAGCGCATGGAGGAGCAGAAGGAGTTTTACGAGATTGCTCGGAGGCGCGCTGCTGAGCTGGATGAGTATATGGAATCGTGAGTCTCTCTGGCTTTTCCCACCTGCTCGAATTTTCTGACAGAAATCTCTTAGGTTTCGGCGGGACATTGTTGAACGAAGCGGCCTCACACTGCTGTTCAAGGAGATTAAAGAAAAAGAGACAATTGGCGATCTCAGCATTCAGTATCGCAAATTTGCCGAGTGGCTGAGGATTGAAATCGCTGCCGTCATATACCATCTTTTCCTGGCCGAGGACAACTCTGCCGACTTGTTTGCCCAAGCGAAGCGCATCCACTCCCTGATTCCGTATTCCGTCGTCAAAAACGTCATCCGAATCGCGAACCCTGCAGCAGTCATGTCGGGTATTCTGGACGTCTTTCTCGCCCAGCCTTTTGGAACCCGCTCTCTTATGCAGAGAATGTTTTCATTAGCACTGCACGATGGCATTCGAAGCTTTCAGAGATCCATTGACGCCCTGGACGCCAAGGTTGGCGATCCCGTCTTCACCGAGAAGATCAAAAAGTACACAAATGCCCCCGAAGACATTAAGCAGGAAATCCGTCGCCAGGCCGAAGAGGAAGACCTCGACATCATAGTGGTGATACTGAGGTCGGACTTGATCGAGCCCGAATTGTCTGGCGAGCAGATTCAGCGATTGTTCAACGCATACGTCGCCTTCAACAACGCTGTTGAGAACATTGACGAGGAGTTGAAGCAGGGAGCCCAGCTCTTCTCGTACCTCAAACAGCTCCTCAAGCTTTGCACGCGATACAGAGATAAGAGCATGCTGCTACAACTGATTGAGGAGCCTGTCACGCTGCAGCTCTTGAGAGACCTGTTCACCATCTTCTACGAGCCCCTCGTGCGGGTGTACAAGTCGGCCAACGTGTACAACAGCGTCACCGACTTTGCCGTCTTCATCGACGACATGATCAAGGTGGTGGAGAAGTGCAGGGAGGATGATGCATCCGCGGATCCGAACCAGACTGTGCAAGCGTTTATCGATTTGTGCGCGAGGCACGAGCACAACTTTTACAAGTTCGTGCACGAGATACATACGCACGACAACGGTCTCTTTACTCAGCTTATGGAGTGGATAGAAGGCATCCTCGAGTTCCTGCGTAGAGGCCCCAAGAACGGCACGCTGAATGTCAATGCCTTGTTCGAGGGCGGCGTCAGCAGCGGCATCATCGACAAGGAAAAGGCGATTCAGGAAATCGATGCCCTGATCGCCTGGCAAGAGGCAAGGAAGAAGTGGCACAGCGACAAGACGCAGCAGAAGATGGCCGCCGAGGGCCAGCCCGGGAGCGACATGATGCCGACGGGGTTCAGCTCGGCGGACTTCGGGCTCAACGACGAGGACCTGGAGGACCTGGCGTACGACGACGGGTCGGAGACGGAGGCGGAGGAGGAGGACGACCTGGACCCGATAGATGCTGAGCGGCAGAGGCGGGCTAAGAAGCGGGATCGCCTGAGACGGTCGGCGGGGGAGCCGGTGAAGCCGCCGATTTCAGAGGTTCACAAGCTCAAGGAGAATTTCTTGGTCATGTTGAGGAACGTTCTGGCTGATTAGAGGATGAGGGCTGCGCGACGGAGGTGGATGAAACTAGAGACACACACGGAGAGAAATGGGAGATGTCGAAGGTTATTATTCTTGTTAGTTGCGCAAGCGAGGACTTGATTTCTATTCTTGGCAAGCTTGGGTACCGTTGATGGAGGGGGGGTTCTTTTCCAGAAATACCTTGCAGATTTTTACCTCGTTTTGGGGGTGTTGCAGAGCAGCCACACTGGGTCTGAGGGATTCAAGACTTGGGAATTGGTATGAGTTATCGGAGTATTCTTTCAGAACGGGGGGGTTAGAAGGCCCCTTTTCATGATGCAAGGTCTTTGGTAGCTTGCTTATGTATATGCTAGAAACAAGCAAATATGTCTTCCTCTAGAAGCCCAGACGATGGCGCAGAACCAGTGTATCAATGAGCTTCTCGGTCATGATTCAAATGTGTCCCTAAAATTTAACCCCTTGAATTAAACCACACAGCGCAACCTTCCGTGTAAATCTATTCTTCGGCCATTTCCGCCTGTAGTTGGACCTCTGGAGATAGATAATTAGTTAACCTGGAATAAAACCATAGAAAGGGCGAGTCTGCCCCCCCATTAAAAATGAAATCTCATGATAATAGTAGTAGACTTACGCCATAATCGGTTCGCAGAAGCTGAAATGACATTCGCCTTGGCAAGCAGCTTCTCTTCAAATCTCTCATCGGCCTTCCCCTTGATTCGCAGCTTATTTGGCTGAGCCTATGGGAGACCCCCAGTCAGTATTAACGAAAACAGGGAAGAGAACTTGGGAGGTGATGGGAACTTGATTGCAAAACAAACCTGCATCAGGACGAGGGCCAATTCCTTGGGGTCGGCATTTGCAATGGCGCCGACGGTGCGGTATCCGTTTTCCCAGAAGACGCGACTTGTCAAAAGTGAAGTCAGCATATATTCATGGCTGTGTGAATGAATGGACCTTCGTAAGGGGCAAATGAGAAAGAGGAGAAAAGAGAGAAAAAGACATACGCTGTTCGGCTCTTGATGAAGGGAATCTTGGCAAGGGCCAGGAGATCCGTCCTCGCGCCGGCCATGAGCCTGTCTGAAAAGTGCTCCAGCGCAGCAGCCATGACGCTACATTCCGGAGTCAGTTAGTCCATAAGTGAAATTGAGGAATGAACAAAGGCCTGTAGGCCCCCTTACCCCCATCCCATGTGCTCGCAAAATTTGATCATGCCGGCCGCAAAGCCCTGACAGGTCTGTGCAAGCGTCTGAACAGAGCCCCGAGGCGAGTCGTACTTTCGAGCGACCACATGTATGGGCATCTCATTGCACAGATCTCGTAGCTGGAGGGCAAGATAGAACCGACGATACACGCGCGCCAACTCCTTCTCCTCAGGCGAAGTCTCCTTAAGAGGAACGCCCCGGGCGCTTCCCCGTGTCTGTTAGCAAAGTTTGACACAGGAAAGAGAACTCGTGAAGGTTGATTCTCACAGTTTCAGCACTTCTGTCGGTTTGATCCCCAGGAAACGAAGGACTCGAAGCCCGCTTTCATCCAAAGCGTCCATCTCGTTGCGAAATACTTGCCAGTTAACGGTTATGCCGAAATCCTGAACCGGCGTGAAGACGTAGAGAATGTGCATCTCGCCATCCATCACAAACGCCTTGAGCGTCTTTGTAAGCTCGGCGTGTATGAAGACTCCATCATAGGGGTCAACAGAAGAGGCAACTATGGCTCTGCCTAGCTGCGTAGCCGTGAAACTCGAATAAGAGTCGTTCACAATTAAGCCCAGGTCGTGTATCTCCTCCAGCCCCGACTTGAGACAGCTTTCCACAAACTCTTGATCGTGGGTATAGCTGATGAGGGATTTCGAAAAGTAGTCCATAAGGGAGTCGTGGCTATTCGCCAAGCGAACGGAAATCACCTCCAGAATGGCCCTTTGCTCCTGTGTCAGCGAATGCCGCGCTTGTCGAGGGGATTGAAACATTGTCTCACCGTTGCACCCGCTTGTTTTCGGTGTTGAGACAGCTGGCAATCTCCGGGATATCCGCATACATGAGATCTAAGACCTGCTCCAGGTCGTCTTGGCGACAGCACAGATATGTTTCGCCCACGGGTGATTTGCCTTGCCTCCCGGCGCGGCCTCTCATCTGCCGTAGCATGGAAGGGCCGACATACTCGCGACCCATCCTTGCATTATGCAAGATCACCCTTCGAGCAGGCCTGGTGGGTCGAGATTAGTCGAGCTGGACTTGCCGCCATAACGGTTCTTGAAGGGATGCGCACAGATTGATACCAGCCGCCAGACTGCAAGTGGCCACGCACACTAGGAGTGTGCCGGCATCATACGCCTCGGCAATGAGATCTCTCTCCTCGCTCGTTAAGCCGGCCTGTCCGAGGCAGTCAGTATTTTGCTTCCTTTGAAGGGAAACGCTGTACACACATCTGAAAACCATAGTTAGCATCCGCAATTTCGCCGCCAGCAGGGGAGGGACGTACGATGGAATGCGACGCCGGACAGGACGGTTTCCTCCAATACAGGATCAGCCCCTGTACTGAGACTGCGCAGCTCGCTGAGGAGATCCATCCGCTTGTCCATGGTTACGCTGTCTAGCTCATGCGGCTGAGGCATCACTTGACTGATTAGACGTGCATCGGACTCGCAGATGCTTCGGCTACCGGCAAAAATCAACGAGCCGTAGCCCATCATGGCGGTCTCGTAGGCCAGAGATACCACGGCATTCAGGACCGGGTCGCGGAATTCTTTGTGGTCAGATGCTCCAATTTGCCTGGTAGGCTCAACCTGACCTTTTGATATCTCATCGACTTTTACCTGTTTTTGTGCCGTAGCGCCGTTGGTGCCGATATGGTAGACTTTTCCTTCGCAAACCAAGTGTTCTTCGATCGGTATTGGCCTATATCTCGTTTCATAAGAATGTGCGTTGAGCCACTGAGCTACCAGATTCGCATTCTATAAAACAATCAGACACAGCAGGGGGAGCAGTTTAGCTAATAGGGCGGACATACGGGTAGAGTGGCGCTCATGCCAACAATTTGAATGGGCTGCTCCAAGCTCAGAAGTTTGGTCGCGATCAGCTCTAGAAGGTATCCACGGTGGTCGTCATCAATCATGTGAAGCTCATCGAGGACTACGGCTCGTAGCTGAGATATAGATCCGTCTTCGATGGCGGTATTGATAAGCATATTCGCCTGAAGTATTCAAAGGCTATTAGATAAGACGACATGCAATGGACCGGGCTGGATCAAGCGAGGCAGACCTTTTCTAGAGTGCATATGCCGATATCAAAGTCCTGCCAAGTGGACCTGATCTTGCCGCCACCAAAGAAGCCGACAACCTTGAGAGAATCGTGGTCTGGACGAAGCCGCCAGATGCTGTTGGCCTTTTGCTTCTCCAGCGCTTCAGGATCAATATTGGGGGCGAGACCCTGGACGACGGTACGAAGCCAGCGAACTTTTTCTTGCACAAGAGCAACATAGGGGAGGATAAGGAGTGCTTTGGACTCGGGTTCTTCGATGATCCTCTTAAGCATGAGCACTGGACAAACATCAGCACCATGACAGTGGTACGGATACGACAAGACGGCTCACAATCAGCAACTAGCGACTTTCCCCCACCGGTGGGAGCACAATAAACCAAGTTCTTAGCACCTGTAAGCAAGCCGGGTCCCTTGAGGCAGCTCTTCTGCCATGGGTATATTTGCTTGATGCCAAGGGAAGCAAAGTTATGGACAAGTTGCGGCGGCAGATTATATACTGGATGAGCAAGATTGAGCTCGGGATCTATGGAAGAGGACGGCGTGGCGGCATATACACGCCGCTGAGTATATTCGGAAGGATCTTCGGATGCATTGAACGTGACAATCTTGCTGGCAGAAAGTCTAGCTGGAGTCTGGGGAAGATAGAGAGCCTTTTGGAAGCGGACGGAGCCTTGGGAAGCTGAAGCGGGAGCGAAACCAGAGCCAGATGCAGATGCAAATGGCGAGGCTCTCGTGTCTGCATCGTCGAGGCTGGTTGACCAGTCCCTCTTCTGCCCAGCCACCGACGGCGGTCCGAAAGCTGCTGCCTGCCGCTCTTGGGCTTCCTGGACACTCGTCTTGTGTAAGATGCCCCTCATGCTCTCCATGACTGCGGAGAAGCAGGCGGCAAAGCACCTACGGAGGAGAAGAAGTCATCTAGACACGCAAATGGTGAGGAAGAGAGAAGGAACAAGAAGAAAGAAAGAAAACAAGAAGAAGACAAGAAGAAGACGCAAAGAGCGAAGAGTGCATCAGTCAGCAAGCATTGTACGAGTATTCTCTGGGATGCGTGAGCATCGTGTGGTTGGTGGGGAAGCGCGTTTGTTAGGCAGATGCGCATCTCGGCAGTGATTCGCAGTGGGTTTCCGACACGCGAGATCACGTGGCTGGGCGAATCTCGATAGCGCCACCGCTCTGTTCCATTTGAGTCTGTACCTCTGCACTAACCGTTGTGTGAAGCAAGGATCTCTTCCACTTGATACAGATGTGGTAGTAGTATCAGGCATGTGTCTTTGAGCCACATCAAAACAACGACCTCGTCCATTTGAACACTCATCTTACTCTACGCCCCCTTCTCCTAGCACATATTCTTCTTCTTCCACAGCCACTCCAGCCCTGCGCCTCATGGCCCGTCACTTGACGTTGGCGTGCCTAAACAGGCGTGCTACCGCTACCGCTACCCTACGAGGTACAAAGTACTGCTACTAACAGCGCGAGTGCAACAAACACACCCGATTTGCAGTGCCCCGCGGCCTGTCATTGGCCAGCTCAATTCCCCCTTCCAGAAACCATCCGGCGTTACTTCGCACAACAACCTGCATGAATCGACGAAGGGGCATCGAGGCCTGGACACTGCACTGCTTTTGCTCACTCGGCCACAAAGTTGAAACCACCGCCCAACATCTAGGGCTTCTGACGCCGGCATCTCCCGCTTGCTTTTCGGTGCGCGGTAACGTGATTTGGGCTGGGGTGACGAATCTGCAGAGGGGAGCCTGCCTTGCTCCGGCCTCCCCTGCGAGACGCTGCCTAGCAGACAGCAGCCGCCTTCGCTGTTGGATGCGAGGAAATGTCGAATTGACGCTGACGAGGAGCAGAAAACGAGCTGTTGCCCCCATACCTCTTCAGGTCGGCTCCCACAGGCCAAAAACTGGCTCTGACTTTAGCATTTGACGCCATCACGCCTCGAAACTCTCTGCCCCGGGCTCCTGTCCATGGTGGCGCTCTGCAGCCCCACACAGCCGATCCGGCGGGTTCTTTGTTGTTTTAGAGCCGTGAACCCGACCGACTGAAAAAATCACATCACCTTTTCCATTCGTCTTATCCGACCGACCGACCTGTGACGTCGTAGCCACCAGGTTCCGGATGCGCTACTAACAAGGACGAGGCAGATGCGGCAAATCTCCAAAAAGAGCTGCCCTGGCACATGGCAATTCTAGATACTACTCACTGCTGGCTACAGCACTTGTCGCCGGTGCATGCAATTGTCGACTCGACTAGTAAGGTAGAGATGCATATATCGATGCCGATACAGATGCAGAGAGCATGTACGAGTACATTGCACTGAACGCGTAGAAAACGGAGTCGTCAAATCGAGGCGCATGTACCTGGCGCATAGACACGCATGTACCTCCTGCGCTTGTACATACTCCTGTACCCCCCCAAATATCCTTACCGGCATGGCGCGCATGCCAACTGCAAGGGCTCGCTCTGTCGAACACGCCGCCAATTCCCCCCCGCGGCTGCGATGCTGCTTGTCCTGACGCTGTTTTGCCTCGATGCCACGGTCTTGTGCTTCAGTCGTCGCCGTCTTACAAGTACTTACTTGCGGTGGCCAGGTGCCAAACGCGACAGCAAACAATGGCCTGCGAGAGTAACACATGCATGGTCGGGTACGTCATCAGGAGAAAGACGAGCAGAGAGTGAAGGGGCCGGACGAGGGCGCCAAAGAATGCTGCTGGGTGCTGCTGGGACGTCCGAAGAAGGCGGCTGGAAGCCCGCATCATCCTCGCATTATGCCCGGAGTTCCTACTATGAGGGGGGCGACCGGACGAGGAAAGGCAGACGTGTCAGTGTCGATTCGAATGACCTTCTCAGCTATTCAACTCCCCAACAACCAGCCATGACCTGCTCCGTCTACCTCTCGCCCTGACACACTCTTGATAGCTGGGTGGAGTGGCCCATCTAGGCATCCTCCCCGGAAATCGAAAAGCGAAAGCAAGCAAGCGAGCGAGCAAGTAGATACACGTTGATGAGGCGTGCTTACACAATTCCTTCGCCCCTCATCGCGCAGACCAGTCTTACTGCCACCAAGTAAGGTAGATTACATACTTTGTAGTGAGGGTCGGTAGGTCGTATGCGTAAGGTAGGTAGAGAGCAGAGGTACGGATCGCTCAAGGGCACAAGCAAGGTTTACCATGACCACCTTAGAGCGCCACCGAGACTACAAGCACTTATCAACTGGATCCCGCCTCGCAACGACGGTAAAGCACCGGCCATCAGACGCATTGTAAAACTGAGCGGCGGCTGCAATCAAACGCTGCCTCCCTGACGGGCTCAGCTTGCTTCTCCTGGCCGCGTGCGAGTGCTTCGCAGTCCCCGGGTACCGAGAGGAAAGGCACAGAATCAGTGTGTCGTCGGTGGAGGAATTTCTGATGAACCTCTGTGGAAAAACAGATGCGGGACTTGCTCATGGGTGGCCCAAGTACCCCGGAGTAGATATAAAGTTGCTGCCATCGGCCATCAGCCTCAGCCAGGCGCCTGCGCGCGGCAAGCGAGGCCCCCGGCTGTTAGGGGCGACCGCCGCGCGACCTGCGCCGGTACAGCCCACCTGGACCTAGCAGGGACACAATCCACTTGGTGTGCGGCCCCCCTGTTAACTTGAACGGCGGCGCCCATACATGTAGGTACTGGATTCTTCAGTCTCAACTGGCACTACTCACTCTTTTTTCCTCCTCAATCTCATCCAACCTGGCCCGGCCGTCGTCTTCACGTCGTTTCCTCCTCCCTACCGCGTATTTCATTGTCCCGACTCGCCGGCCCGTGGCCTCTCTGCAGTGACAGGCCCTTTGCAATTTACCATCGCCCGCGGCTCTCGACTTTTCCTGAGCCGTTGCTCATCGCTCTCCGTTCGATTCCCACCCGGTCTGGACACTCACATCAGACGGGCATGCCTTCACCACCTTGATTTGCCTCGTTTCACGGCCACGCTGCTAATCTGCCGCCAATATGGTGCAACCAAACGTGAGTCTTTCTGTTACAACATGCCGGACACTCTTACACGCCTGCATCTGGCACGTCGCTTTTTTATTATTCCCAGTTCTGTGCTGGTGTATATGTTGAATATTCCTTTTTTGACCCGTCGTCGCCCGTTGCTCTGACACCCACGACAGGACTCCAAGTCTGCCGAGCCTGAAGCAAACCCGGCGTCGGAGCCAATGGCCAAGACGTCGCCCAGCTCAGGCGCAGCAGAAAAAGAGGCCGTCATTGACGTGGCCATGCCGTACGGGACTCGCTCCCGCAACAGGACGGCCAGTTCTCGCCCCAACTATGCCGAGGACAAGGACATTGAGATGGACATGTATGATCACTACCCTGACAAGAAAGACAGCGACGCCGGCAAGAAGTCGTCGCGGCAGGTGAACGGCGCCAGCAATGGCGAGGCGCCTCGCACCAACGGCAGCTCACGCAAAAACGCCAGCGCTGCTGCTGCTGCCGCCGCCGCCGCGGACGACTCCAAGGCCGGCCCCAGCCAGAACGGCTCCCAGGACGCAAAATCCGGCGGCACCATCCACGCATCACAGGCCGCGTCAGGATCGGGCACGTCGCAGGCCTCGCGGAAACGCAAGGCGGCCGCGAACCAGAACGGCGGCACGGCAACAGCGTCCGCTGCCACCTCGGCGGCCGCAACGCCGCCGGCCACGTCTTCGGCGGCCAAGAAGAACGCCCTCGCGGCTCAGAACCAACTTCAGGGCTTGACGTGGGCCGAGTCCAACATGCTCACTTTCGAGACGTGCAAAGGCATGCCGGACAATGGTCGCATGGTGGCCGACGACGGCACGGTGCTGGAGGCGAATGGTAGGTAGCACGGCCGGGGGATCCACCTCGAGCCTATGCGAAGGCAATTTCCAAACCCTCGCGGCGAGGCCGGGCTAACAGACAATCTGGGCAGATCACGTCTATCTCGTGTGCGAGCCCCCAGGAGAACCCTACTATCTGGGGCGCATCATGGAGTTCATGCACGCGGGCAACGACGCCGCCCGGCCGGTGGACGCGGTGCGCATCAATTGGTTCTATCGCCCCAAGGACATTGGGCGCAAGGCCAGCGACACGCGGATGGTCTTTGCCAGCATGCACTCAGACATCAGCCCCTTGACGGCCCTGCGCGGCAAGTGCCAGATCAAGCATCGGCTGGAGATCGAGAGCATGGACGAGTACCGTCGGCAGCCCGACAGCTTCTGGTTCGAGAAGCTGTACGACAGGTACATCCAGAAGAACTACGATCTGATTCCCACCCGGCTCATTGTCAACGTGCCCGAAAAGGTCAAGAAGGTGCTGGACGAGCGCTGGAAATACGTGCTAGTCGAGCAGGGGCGTGGCAAGGAGCTGACTAGCGCCGTTAAGCTCTGCAAGAGATGCAGTGGCTACTGTGCAAGGTACGTATTGTCGACACGACCCTACATGGCGCTCGTTCCGGCCTAGGGCCGGTTTATTTCTTTGCCTTTCCTTTCTTTTTCTGCCCTTTTCTGCTTTGTTTGGCCTGTCACTTGTCTCGTCCCTGTTCCTGTCCTTGTCTCTGCCCGATGGATGCCTCTCTCTGCTTTGTGTCTCCAGCTGCGGGCCTCAACTGCCAACCAGCGCGTGCCGGCCTCTACTGCCAACCAGCGCGTGCCGGCCTCTACCGGCACGTCCCTGGTCCTGTCGACTGGTACCTGGGGAGCCCGGCCCCTATTGGCACGACGGCCAAGTACCTACCCGACCAGGGCAGCGCAGAGCAGACGCTGGGTACCAAGAACGGCACGGAGTACACGGTACACGGTACATGATCACCAACACCCCTTCCCTAGCCCTCTTTGAGGGAGCAGCCCTTTTCTGGCGTCGTCTATCTTCAGGTACTTGGTACCCGGTACCTCCATCAGGGCCAACGGACGCCCACCCCCCTCCCATTCCATCGTCTCCGCCTTTCTCCCCCCCTCCCTGTCTTTGCCGTGCGTGCATGTGCATGCAATTTGCTGGCCTTGGTCGGACCACTGGCCGTCTGCTTGCTCAGGTGCTGCGTTGTACCAGCCAGCCAGCCAGCGAGGCGGATGGATGACTGCTGTGATCTGTCCTGCGCCCCAAGACTTGTCGAGTGGCATCAGCGGGCATCAGAGGCAGCAGAGGCAGCAGCAGCAGCAGCAGCAGAGCCGTGTTCCGGTAGCCGTTTAGGCTCTGTCGGATGTCACCGCTCCAGGCATCGTGCATCGCGTATCGGCTCCAGAGCTGGGCACATCGACTATCTACTTGCCTACACACTACACCTGCTTATAGCGCCCATCAAACGGGGACACACAACGCATCGCATCCTGAAGATGCATTCATCACTTGATTCATTTCCCTCCTTACCAGCTTTACCCATCATCTGTTATCCACTGCCTCTCTATTTTTTCCGTTCTTGTTCCCGGCCTATTCCAACCGGCTTGACTTGACCTCGGCTAACATTTTTTCCAAATAAAGCAATGACTCGGTTGACTGCGCAGTATGTCTACACACATACCATATGAACTGCGTCAAGCCGCCGCTGCTCAAAAAACCCTCACGTGGCTTCGCTTGGTCTTGCGCTGCGTGCAGTCGTGCTCAGGAGCGCAAACTGGAGGCCCGCCATACCCCTAACACGGTTGATACCGCAGACCTCAACGACGACGAGCCTCTGGACGACGACGAGGACGATGTTCATGGCGTCGAGACCAACAGGACAAGCCCCGCCGACGACGATGCGCCTCACCAGGGTACCGCGGAGCAGATTTACCAGGCTAGCCTCTGGCCGTGGCGTTATCTCGGCATGCATTGCAAGCCGGAGGATGCGCTGGATTACGATGACCGCATTTACCCGCGCGCAGGCACCCGCATTGGCCCAAGGAACCAGGCAACTGTCGGGCCTTGGCCTGGCCAGCCCGTGCAGTATGTCAAGCCTCTGGAGTTCAAGAAGGGCAGCAAAAAGGATCAGAAGCTGCTCAGGGAGCAACAGGAGGCCGAAAGGGCTCGTCGTGTCTCGCGGCCGAAGTGGGTCCAGGATCAGCCACCCGGATACGTCGCTCGCGGCGAAGACTTGGACGAGAATGATCCCAACTGCACGGCGACGTTGCTGTGGAAGCCGCCGCCTGCGGGTGAGCCGCCCGTCGAGAAGATCAACGACTACGTTGCCGATGCCATGAGCAAGGCCAAACAGCTGGACCTCCCCGAGCGTTCTACGAACCTGCGCGATGTGGCAGTGGAAACTCTGTTTCGAGAGGACTATGATCCGTCCAAGGCCCTTTCTACGCTTGTTAAAAAGCCCAGGTCCGAGTTCAAAGAACCCAGCTTCACTCCCGCAGAAGCGAAGAAGTTTGAAGAGGGTGTCTCAAAGTTTGGTTCCGAACTGCATCTCGTCATGAAGCACGTCAAAACCAAGCCGCCGGGAGAAATTGTTCGACATTACTATGTCTGGAAGAAAACCGAGCGAGGAGCGCAAGTCTGGGGCAGCTTCCCCGGCAGAAAAGGGAAGAAGCAGGCCAAACGCGAAGACGCCGCCGCTTCCAAGCTCGCCGACGACGTGGCGCACGACGACGACGACTCGGCATTCGACGCGGACAAGGCGGCACAGAAGAAGCGGAGCTTTATCTGCCAGTTCTGCAATACCACCAACGACCGACAATGGAGACGAGCACCGAATCCGCTGCCTGGACTGGTCAATGAGCAGGGTCAAAAGGGCTCCGGCAAGGACAAGGCTGGGAATCAATACGTTGTTGCCTTGTGCCGACGCTGCGCCGAACTATGGCGCCGTTATGCCATTCGATACGAGGTGATCGAAGAGGTGGCCAAGAAGGTTGCCCAGGCCGGTGGCCGCGCATGGAAACGCAAGCAGGACGAAGAGCTCCTCAAGGAGCTGCAGCTCGCACAAGAACTGGGCTATATGACGCCTGAACGAGCCCCGACACCTTCCAAGGCCGCGCCGCAGCCCAGCGAAACGCAGGAGCCTCCTCGAAAGAAGCTCAAGTCTTCTGCCGATAAGGAGGCGGAGGCAACCCCGTCCGAAAGCGGTAGCACTCCCAGCGCTGCGCCGACTAAGAAGAAGGAGAAAGCAGTTGTGGAGCCGCCCGCCGCCCCCGAGATGCCAAAGCCGCGAACCCTTCCTTGTGCCATCTGCAGCCAGATGGAGCCGATGGGAGACCAGCACCTATCGTGTCGAGAGTGCCGCATGACTGTTCATCGCAACTGCTACGGTGTTATCGATCACAAGGTGCAAGGCAAATGGATATGCGACATGTGTGCGAATGACAAGGCACCGCAAGTTTCTATTGTAAGTCACATCAACACCATCCCCCCTCTTTCCGCCTTCACCAGTACCCTCCCTCCTCCCTCTTCCCCTGAACCGTACATCAGCCAGTGACTGACAAGGTGAAAAGCAATATAAATGTGTCTTGTGCCCTGTCGAGCACACCGAGCATGACTTTGTGGAGCTGCCGAAGCTCACTCATCATAAGAAGAAGATGTCCGAGAAGGACCGAGAGCGAGAAAAACTCGAAGTCCAGCAGGCCCGCAAGGCTGCCGAGTTCTATCGCAAGAAGCAAGAAGACATGAACCGCCCCGTGAACCCTCGCGAGCCGCTCAAGCGCACCGCGGACAACAACTGGGTTCATGTCACTTGCGCGGTCTGGACCCCTGAAGTCAAGTTTGGCAACGCCAAGGCACTGGAACCCTCCGAAGGCATCCCTTCCATCCCGAGATCCAGATATGACGAGATCTGCCAGGCCTGTAACCAGCAAGGCGGAGCCTGTGTGCCCTGCCATCATTGCCGCGCACCTTGTAAGCTGCCCTTTTTTCTTTTCTTTCCTTTTCTTTCGACTCTCCCACGTGAGGCGAGCTGTATGTCGAGTGAGCTCGGAGACTAATAAGAACAGATCACGTCGAATGCGCTCGGCAGAAAGGCCACGTTCTCGGGTTTGACATCACCCCCGTCAAAAGCTCGCGGAGGGATCAGTTCAACATTGTTACGGTCAATGGCGAGAGCGGGACCATGTCTGCACTGCTGTGGTGCAAAGACCACCTGCCCACCAAGACTGTCGTCCATCGGATCCACGATATTGTCAACGAGTCCGGACTAAACGCCCTTCAGCTCTACGTCCAGAACTTCAAGCAGGCCGACCTCACCCTGACAGGAACCGTTCGCAAGGCCACCTTGATGGCGGCAGCGGCGAAGCTGTCCGGAGCTCCGATCCAGACAGGAAACCGCAGAGCATCCACAACGACGGCGCCCAACGGCAGCTGGGCACAACCGCGCAACGGCGAGGTGGTTGATGCTGGATCCAATGCACAGCACCCCGGAGAAAAGGTGTGCATCACATGCGGCATAGACGTCACCCTGAGATGGTGGCCGATTAACACCTCGCAAGAGCGGAAGCTCACCAACGGTCACCACGGGACCATTGGGTCGGAAGCACAGAAGTTTGTTGAGCAGCGGAGGTTCCAGTGTCACAAATGCCATAAATTGCGAAAGGCTCCTCGCAGTCCGCGCCTGACTTTGCTACCGGGCCCGTCGCCTCCGCCGCCCGCGCCGACCGAACTACCGCGTCCTCAGCCGATGGAGGCCATCATGACGACGCCAGTGCCTCCCCTGAGAGGTGCCACGCCGCCGGCCCCCCTAGTCGATTATCGCGACGGACGCCATGCCAGCCATCCTCTTTCGTGGCCTCAGCCGCCGAGCTCGCATGCCATGCCACCCGTGTCGACCCCTCCCACCATACCGGCGCCGATACATGCGCCTGCTCAAGTGGCAGGACATCGCCCGCCTCCGGTGACACATGCGTATCCGCCGGCGCCGTTACCGCCGGCCAGACCAACAGCTTATAGCGACTGGGCGCCGCATCGTCCGGGTAGCCAGCACAACTCTCCACCTCCTCCTCGACATATCAACGGAGGCCCCCCGCCTCCCCTGCTGCACAGCGCTCCACCCCCGCCGCCTCCGATGTCGAATCTTTCTGCTCTCCGGCCGCCTGCCATGACTGGGCCAACAATGCCTGGCGGCCATCCACACGGGCACTCGTATGCAAATGGGCTTCCGCCGTCGCCTCGGCGCATGAGCGGGCCGACTGCTCCCGCTCCATATGTTCCTCCCCCTTACCACGGCGGAGTGGGCCACTCTGGCCACGGGGGTCCCGTTCATCCCCCGGCTCACCTCATGAACAACGGGGCTCAACCGCCGCCGCCACCGCCGCCGCCGCGAACGGACGCATTTTCGCATGGTTTACATCCTCAGAGATCGTATCCACCACCACCCACGCATGCAAGCCCTCCCTTGCTGAGGAATGGGCCGCCACCTCCACCGCCGCCTGCGCATGAGGCGCCCTCATCGTCCACGCCAATGGCATCGCGGCCTCCAGAAAGCAGGCCGGCTACCGGCGCGAGCACGAATCCTTCTCTCCGCAACTTACTTTCTTGAGACGTTGGTTCGTTGAAATACAAACAGTATTGTATGAGTTGCGAGATTTGAGAGTTGAGAAATTATTTGTTGGTTTGTTTTGATTGATAACCACTGTTTCATTGCCTTTTACCAGCTCTGTTTTGCTTACTCTCTTTCGTTTTGAAGAGCATCGGGTGCAACGGATGAGGATGATAAAAGAAGAGCACTGCTACTGCTAATACAGGTTCGAAAAGCGAATGCTGTATAGATATGGGCGTATAGGGGGGAATACCTTGTGAGTTGTCTTGACTCGACGATGATTTTAGCCGTATGATAGACGGTTGCCCCGTGTGCAAATCATGGTTTAGGAATAGCGAATAATGGTGTGTTGTGCTGTTGGAAAGGGTCTTGTATGTTGGGTATGTAGCAACATAATGTACGAAGCATGAGCACTGAGGGGACCAGTGATGTGATGGACTGCCCTCGCTGCAGCTGATAGAACCTCACTTCATCCTGTACTGAATTCTCTCCAAGTATCCAGTTTCTCATCGTCTCCCTCCTCACAGCTAGTATTGTCACTTCCATCATCCCTCCGACGGACGAGGCTGACTTGACCCTGATGATGCTTAGTGGGGCTGAGTCCCTCCCAAAAGCTCAGGGTACCTCACCACTTTATTTTTAGCAGCACTTTAAACACGTTCGCACCTCGATTGGCTGACACACCAACACCACCATCATCTCAGAGAGAGTAGCTGTTCTCCAACCACTCCAACGCTTCACTCTCTCTTTTGTTTTCGCTCTCTTCACTTCCACGGTTTCTACAGCAGACCAACGACACATCGCCGATTGGAGAGGCCCGGCTTGCACATCATGGCGCAGATTCTAGCAGACTTGTTCTATTCCTTTGGCAATTGCCTGAATTGCTTCCCGGGGTCGCCCACGCTCAAGATCAACAGCCGGAGCTTCAAGATCCAGCGGCTGCTCGGCGAGGTGCGCAAGACGACACACAAACACACAGCACACACACACATACGCACAACAACCTCAATCCCTCCTCTCTCTCCCGCTCTCTTCACTCTCATCCGACATACCTACCTACACCTACACCTTGCAGCTAACACACACAATCTTCGAAACACACAGGGCGGCTTCTCCTACGTCTACCTCGTCGAAGACACGTCCACGCACGAGCTCTTCGCCCTCAAAAAGATCCGCTGCCCCTTCGGCGCCGAGTCCGTCCAGCAGGCCATGCGCGAGGTCGACGCCTACCGCCTCTTCGACCACGTCCCGACCATCATCTCCGCCTACGACCACTGCGTCGCGACCGACCGCGGCGGCAGCTCCGACGCCGGCAAGACCGTCTACGTCCTGCTGCCGTACTACCGCCGCGGCAACCTTCAGGACATGATCAACGCCAATCTCGTCAACCACGGCCGCTTCCCCGAGCGGCACCTCATGATGCTCTTCCTGGGCGTGTGCAAGGCCCTGCGCGCCATGCACGAGTATCAGCCCGCGCCCGCGGAGCGCATGCAGATGGGCCGCGAGGAGGACCAGGACCACGACCATGATGACACAACTGCGGCGGCGGCGACAAGCGGCGGCGCCGGATCGCGGAGCGGGCGCAAGATGGGCACCCGGGGGAAGCGCACCGAGGAGCAGGAGCAGGGCGAGCAGGAGAGGCCGCTGATGGAGCAGGGCAGCCGTCTCGAGGGCGAGTCCGGCGGCAAGATCAAGTCCTATGCGCACCGCGACATCAAGCCAGGTAAACCCAACCCCATTCCTTATCTCCGCAACAACACAAGACACAAGAGAAGCTAACATTATCCATTTGACAGGCAACATCATGATCGACGACTCCGGCTCCATCCCCATCCTCATGGACCTCGGCTCCGTCGCCCCCTCCCCCATCCCCGTCACCTCCCAGTCCCTCGCCCTCCAGATCCAGGACCAGGCCGCCGAGCACTCCACCATGCCCTACCGCGCCCCGGAGCTCTTCGACGTCCGCACCGGCTCCGTCATCGACACCAAGACGGACATCTGGTCCCTCGGCTGCACCCTCTACGCCTGCCTCGTCGGGAAATCCCCCTTTGAGCTGCGCTCCGACGAGACCGGCGGCACCCTCAGCCTCTGCGTCCTCGGCGGCGACTGGCGCTTCCCCGACGAGAGCCCCGGCGGCGGCGGCGCCCCCAAGCGCACAAATACCATCCAGGCCGCCAAGGCCAAGGCCAGCGCGGGCGACGCCGGTGCCGGCGGGTCGTCGTCCGGAGGGGACGTGTCCATCAGCGAGCCCATCCGGAACCTCGTCCGCGCCTGTCTCAAGGTCGAGCCCGCTGAGCGGCCGGACATTAACGAACTCATCACCATGGTGGAGCAGGTCATTGACGAGCTGCCCGAGGGCGACTTTACATCATGACGTTGATATGCTGTTTTTACTTTGGGGGGGGTTTGGTTCTCTTTGCTTGTTTACTTTTGTTTCTTTGGGCATATGGAATATGATGCAATGTGAGCCTGCGCGTACTGTTTGCGTCTTTTCTCTTCTCACTGCTGGAGGAACTCTGTCTACCGTCATCATGACCTGTTCATATCACTGCTTTGATACAATCGGCGTTGGCGTTACCGTGGGCTGAATAAAGTGCCTGCTCAATTTAGGGAAGCAGATCGATCTAGAGAAACGCCAACGGAGACGATTCATGGAAAATCTCCCGCAAAGGAGTTATTATTGCCTCATAACGACTAACAGAAAGGGTTTGTGATAGCCAAAGCAGCAGCTCATCAGAGTACCCTATGAAATCACCTGCTCTTCCGTTCCAGCATCGTCACATGTTTACATCATACCAGACCAGCGCCACTCAAATCTTCCTCGTCTTCCAGCTTTATGAAAACACTAGGGCCAGGGCAAATACAGGAGGCGTCCAGCTCGTCCTACAGCTGCAGCTTGTATGTTGCCACCTCAAACGGTCGGAGAGTAATGTCAAACTTGCCATCCTGCAGCAAGACTTGCTCGATCTCATCCTCCAGAATGTTGACCTTGGTGACGCGCTTCACCGGATACTCGCTTTTGATCGTCGCTCGGCTGCGCCCACCCAAGGATTCGTACAGGCGAATGATGACGCTCTGCCCCGTGTTGACGCGGTGGCCTTCGCGGCGGCTGACGTCCTCGTCATCATGGCCTCGCTTGATCGTGTCCAAGATAATGGAGGCAGACTCATCCGACTGGATCAGCTGGATGGGAGCGCTGCTCAAGGTATCAATCGCCAATTTGGGTGCCGACAACACCTTGAGAGGGTTGTTGAAGGCATACCCTGCCTTGACCGTCGTCGACGAAAGACTGCCCTTGTGAGGAAGTATGGCCCACCGGATCGAGTGGCGGCCCATATCCGCGTGCTCATCAGGGGCCTTGGGGGATCGGAGCAGAGATAGGCGCATGAGCTTGCCGGCTGTAGCAAATCCGTACTTGCTGTCGTTGAGGATGGATACTCCGTAGTTGTGCTCCGATAGATCGGCAAACCTGTGGCAGCACACCTCGAACTTGGCCATGTCCCAGCTCGTGTTGTAGTGAGTTGGCCTCTTGGTGATGCTGTATGCCGACTCATACGAAGCCTCCGTATTGACTATGTCTACGGGGAACTCTACCTTGAGGAACTTGGAGTTCTCGTGCCAGTCCACTTCTGCCTTGCACTCAACCCATGACGGCTGACCCTTGAGGGCTGCTGACAGAGTGATGTAGGACTTGATGGAGCTATGCTTGCTGATTTTAATCTCCGTAGCAAGAGTAACGCGGTGAGGTTTGACCTCATGGACGTTCGTTTCGCCGTAGCTGAGCTCTCGGCGGGTCTCCAGATGATAGACCTCAACATCCCAGGCTTCCCAGAAGAGAGGAATATCGTCAAAAATGACAAACTTGTTGGCCTTGCCACCCTTCTCAATCGTTTCGCGACCGTTGACTCGGTCATATAGCGAAGTGATACAGCCACCTTCGACAACAACTCGGAGGTCGTCGTTCTCCAAGATGAACTGACTGCCCCGCCGCTCTAGCGAAACTGCAGGCTTGTCTTCTTGCAACTTAAAGGTACGGAGAGCAAGGAGCGGCCCTTGTCCGCAAGCAACGCCGACCTCTGTATCCGACACCTCAACAAGCTCCTTGCGATGCCAAGGTAGGGTGTTGAGAACGACCGACTCGTAACCGTCGGTCTGCAACTTACTGGCGCCCAAAGCCTTGTAAATGTCTTCAAGAAGCTGATGACCAGTCTCAAACGTTTCCTTGTATATCTATGGAGAGTTTAGCATATAGATCAATCGGTGCATAGGATCAAAGGGCCTTTTTCTCACCTTGTCAGAGTCATCGTAGCACATTTCAATCGAGCTCCCAGGGAGACAGTCGTGGAACTGGCATAAAAGCACGCCCTCCCACAAGTTGTCAATCTGTTCGGTAGGGTATTTGTATGCTTTATTGTTCAGAGAAGCAAACGTTGCAAGCTGTTCAAGATCTCGCAGCAAGACTTCGGCCTTGCGGTTGTAATACTTGTTGTTTGCCTGCGTCGTGTAGGTGCCTCGGTGGAGCTCGAAGTACAGCTCGCCATACCATGTAGGAAGCTCGTTGGCTTTTGGAGCGAGTTGGTCAAAGAAATCGTCGACGCTGAGGCCAAGCTTCAGTTTGGGAATGGCACCAATAGTGTTGCTGATTCCTGCAATGCGTCGAAGCTTCTCCAGGTGTTGCCAGGTTGGGCCGCCACCTCCGTCACCCTTGCCATACACCAACAGGGACGTATTGTCAACACGAAGAGTCTTGTGTTGAGTAACACTGCGCTTCAGATCTCCAAAATCGGCTTCAGCAGTGTACGTCTCCGACGGAGGCATGTGGCAAATGACTTGGCTTCCGTCAGGGCTCACCCACATAAAGGTCGTGTGGGGGAAATTGTTGATGTTGTTCCAGCTGAGCTTCTGTGTCATGAAGCGGTCCATGCCTGCCAGACGACAGAGTTGAGGCAGCTGACTCGAGTATCCAAATGTGTCAGGAAGCCAAAAGGTGCGGCAGCGCGCCCCAAACTCCGCCTCGAAGAATCGCTGGCCATAGAAGAATTGACGCACAAGCGACTCGCCGCCAGGCATATTGGTATCGTGTTCGACCCAGCTGCCACCGATGGGATGGAACTGGCCCTCGCTCACCTTTCGCCTTACGCGATCGAAGGCCTTGGGATAGAGCTGCTTCAGCCATTTGAACTGCTGAGCCTGGGAACAAGCAAAATGAGCTTCTGGGTAGCGGTCCATTAGATCACATTGACTCGACCAAGACCGAGCTACTTTGCGTCTTGTCTCCGCAAAAGGCCACAGCCAGCAGGAGTCAATGTGGCAGTGGCCGATACCAAAAACAACGGGCTCTGGGCCTACTTCGTACACTCGATGAGAGTCGACATCGGGGCCAATGATCTGTTGAGCCAGTTTACGACACTCGAGGATGGACTCCTGGTTATTCACTTCGAAAGTGTCGATGATCTTCATGGCAACCGTCAACGCCCGCCCCTGCTCGGCTGAATTCTCAGGAAGTTCTCGGGCGGCATCACCAATCTCCCACATGTCAAAGTATAGACCGCGAGCAGGAACATTAACGGCGACAATGTCGGCCTTGGATAGGCTGAAGTAGCGATTAGGATCGGGCGGCATAATGCTGGATTTCCCATTTGGCGCGTTTCCGAACATTCCGTTACAAGCCATCTCGATGTAAATGGTGTGCGGCTTGCCGTCGCGGAACGAGCGCGGAATCACCCATTCGATTCTCTCTCCTCCACCAGTCAGACCTTGGAGTGGCATACCATCCTCGGTCCAGACCAGGCCCTCGTTGTTTGCGTCCCACTGGAGTTCAAGGAGCTCTTCGTCAGCGATGGCCGAGGGTATAGTTAGGACGACTCTGAACCAGTGAGTCGACCACGAAGGTCCGAAGGAAGCTCCGGTGTGGGTTTCTTTGAACTGTTGTGAAACCGCATGCTCAAAGGTCGGCCGTTCTTGTCCGGGAGCGCTCCAGACAGAGAGGTGCACATGGGGCTTGCCTGAGTACCTGGCATTGTAAAGATTGCTATTCCTCAAGTTAGCACGCCGACGCTGGACACAGAAGAGGGAGCTCAACAGAAGACGTACGCTAGCAGATTTACTTTCTCATATTGCCCTGATTTGTAGAACGGTTCGATACGGCCCTTGAGAATGCTAGTTTTAGGAACGCCGACAGGCCGCTGCGCAAAGACAGGGTAGGAGACATTGCTCCTAATTTCGCTGCCGCCACCCATTGTCGCAACTTCGGGAAGATGTCCTGGAGCCGGTGGTGCTGATCGATTGGAGAGTCGCCGCAGCTTGCCGGGCAGAGGCTGAAGATTGTCTGGAGAGAGCGAGTGCTGGGGACAATCGGAGGAGACGAGGAGGTGGTGGTTAATCAAGCCGTCGTTGGAACTGCCAAGCTCAATTAGCGAGCTGAGACAAAGCAGTGGCCTGAAGATCCAAAAGCGAGCTCCTGGAGGTTGATTCTTCAAGAGTGAGGTGGGAAAGAGAGAGGGAAAAGGTCCGACACGCGCCAGCTTCAGTATGATATAATAGTAAGCTCTGGGGGAGACTGTCACTGCTGTGGGGAGTGGGGGGTCACCGCTTCACAGTGTCCCGTTTCCCAGGCGATGTAACAACCCTCGGGGGCGCTAAAGAGCGGAAAACAGGCGCCGTGCGGGGGAGCTTGGACGCGAGTCCCAGCCTCTCTCAGGGGTCTCGCTCATGGGTGGAATGATGTTCCTCTTCTGGTGGCAAAGGTGCAGTTGCTTGTGGTACGCACCTCATGCTTGTGGTGTTGTTTTCGTCAATTGAGGAATAGCCAACAGTGTCAAGAGCAAGACTGCAAACAGCAACAAGGGATGAAAGAAGATATTCAAAATTGAACAGAATAGGGACAAGGTTCAGGTAAGCAGTAGTGATGAAGAGGGCCAAAGTATTGATACTATCAGGTAGGTGAGAAGATGCTTTGAAGACACAACTCGTAGCCGAGTCAACCGAACCATGAATGTCTCTGAACATACGGAATACCCGAGGCAAACCAGCTATCACCGGACTCTGTCCATAACAAGATCGATCCAAGGCAAAGGTGAGACAAGGAGCAAGGATGGCCGGCAGCCGAGTCCGGGCTCTCGGATGAAGTGCTTGACAAGGTAAGCGGTAGCAGACAAGAGGCGAGGGCCCGAGGCTGTTGATGCCACCAGATATGAAGATGCTAGAGAGGGAGCGTGGATGAAGATGATGGAGAGGAAGAAAAGAAAGTTGGTACCTCAAGACGCAGCAGAGGGAGGCTTAGAGAAATTACCTAAGGTACATGTGCTTATGCGGGAAGGAGAGCATAACCCTCTTGCAGCTGCCCAACCAGCTCCTTCCGCTTGAATTGAAGCAAGCACCGATACCGAGTGCATGCACGAAGTAGGTACCGATCAAGTACTATCAGAACACCAAAACATCAATCACGGTACCTAAGCAGTGTCCAAGATATCTGCCCTACCTTACGGTATACTTAGCAGGTACCTGGCTTATTAGACTCAACACTGGGCACTTGATACCAGCCAACCTGGGATACCATACAGCGTATCATCAACCTTTCAACCAACAACCAACAATGTGCTGCAACAACTCCATGGGAATACTAATGCAGCCCATTCGTTTGCCGCCGACAGACTGCTAAATTTACTCCAATCTCTCCCGACGCGGCGCTTCCAACAGCGCTTCAGGCACCGATCCGCCTCAGCCTGCGGTGGGGCCGAATTCACGGCCCTCGACATGAAAAAAATGTGAGGATGAAACCTCCTACTTCAATCCCCTCTCGCCATGCTCACAAAGTCGATGCCTACAATCTCACGAGCTCCAAAAGGCTTCATCAAGGGGAAGAGGTGATCCCGCCAAATGAGTCACAATGTTTCGAAAGCATGCGGCTCGTGGCTTCTGGCCTCGGCCCCTCCATAGCTCATCAGCTACAGCTCCAGCAGCTTTCCAGCTACGATGTCGTTATTCAGGAGGCGCCTCGGTTCGACGTCTCACCACAACTCCTCTGCTTCAAGCCGCCGTGAGGCGATCGAGAACAACCGTCAAACTCTCCGACTTGCCGCAGGGAAAGGTTGCTGCAGAGCCTCTCTCAATCGAAGAGCAACAGTTACCGCCGTATCCCACCGTTGTGCTCCAGGCGCGCCAGAACATGGACAAGTTTGAGGGCTGTGTTCTGCTCACAAGAGTGGGAGGCTTCTATGAGCTCTATTTCGAGCACGCTGAAGAGTATGCGCCGCTGCTCGGTCTGAAGCTGGCTTCCAAGAAGACGAGTCGCGAAAACGTGCCCATGGTGAGGCCGACCCCTTTCCCCCTCCTCCTTTACTGTTTCTGCCTATCTCTTGGTTGAGTTCAACTCATGCTAACAAGAACTCTCAAAGGCTGGATTCCCTTTCCTCCACCTGAACAAATTTTTGAAAATGCTGGTGTACGATTTGAATCGACACGTCGCCTTGGCGGAAGAGTTTCCCAACGATGCTTCCGAAAAGGTCAAGTCCGGAGGCCTCATGCATGATCGTCGAGTTACCAGAATCTTCACTCCGGGGACTCTCATTGATGAGGACTTCATGGATCCCTATGTCAACAGTTACATCATGGCAATTCACATCTCTCAGGGCGCTGCTGCTGGAACCACGCAATCAGCAGCCTCCTCGTCTCCCCAGACCTCAGATGCGGCATGCACAGGCTCTACGCCAATAGGCTTAGCATGGCTTGATCTCTCTACTGGACAGTTCTTCACTCAGTCCACAACACTGTCATCTCTACCTTCCATCTTGTCCCGCATCGCCCCACGAGAAGTCGTCCTTGAACAAACATTCGAGCTTCAGAAAGATCATGACATTTTCTCCATGCTCGCAGACGATCGGCATCTCATCTCATTTTCCCCCCATGAGAGTCTGGCAAGCGTCAATGACTGGGAACCGTTCCTTGAATCAGATATTCCGAAAGCCTCACGCGAGACTTTCACAGAGCATGAGGTCGTCGCGGGTGGCTTGGTGCTGAACTATGTCAGGAATTCGTTGCAAGACCTGAGCATGAAGCTTCAACCACCAATTCGCTACGAAAACATGCATACCATGACCATCGACAAGAACAGTTTAAGAGCGCTTGAGATCAAGCAGACTATCCGCGATGGCTTCTTCCGCGGCAGTCTTCTTCATGCGATACGCCGCACGGTCACCAAGAGCGGCGCTCGATTGCTCAACGAATGGCTCGGCTCTCCATCCACATCTCTAGCTGTGATTGAAGCTCGACAAGATCTTGTTGCTCGCTTCATTGAAGCGAAGGATCTGAAGGACTCCTTGATTGTTTTGTTACGACGAAGCCATGATTGCCACAGACTGCTTACAAGGTTTCTGCACGGACGAGGTAGCCCGGATGATTTACTCGGTATAGCAAACACCATTCGCGCAACCGAGGAAATCACTACTTTGCTGAAAGAGGAAGCACAGAAGGATCATACATCATCCTCACCAGACTGTCTTGCTGCACTAGTGTCTCGAATCGACCTCGAAGAACCTCTCAAGCTCGCACACCGGATTCAAGAGTCTATCGACGAGGAAGGGATTGCTCAGCAACAGGTAGCAGCGGCATCCGAGGTAGAAGGAATCGTGGCTCTAGCCCAAGATGTTATCACTTCAGAAGGCACCCAAGAGGACGCCGCGGCTTTGCTCAAGGGGAAGAAGAAGAAGGCAACCAGTGTCCGAGAGGTCTACGGTGAGGATAACGAGCCATGGATCATGAGACCAGCTGCGAGCAAGGAGCTCCAAAAGCTCCACGACGAGCTCGCGTCACTGCTAGAAGACAAGACCAATCTGGGAGAGGCCCTTCGCGAGCGCTTTGGGGCATCAAGCTTGACGCTCAAGTGGGCAGCGGGCATAGGTCACGTCGCCCACATCAGGGGGAAAGACGCTAAGAACCTCGCCGAGATTAAGACCGTCTCTTCGAGCCGCAGCACGAAAACTTTCCAGGTCCCCGAATGGACCACCCTCGGCCTGCATCTTGACCAAGCAAAACTTCGCATCCGGCGCGAGGAGCAGCGTGTCTTCCAAGCCCTGAGGGAACATGTCGCCAAGAACGTGATCAAGCTGCGGCGCATTGCCGCCGTGCTGGACGAAATTGACATTGCGACGTCGTTTGCAACGCTCGCCGTTGAGCAGAAGCTCGTCCGCCCCAAGTTGAACGATTCAAGAACGCATGTCATTATCGCTGGCCGGCATCCGACGGTGGAGGGCGCTCTCTATGCGCAGGGGCGTCGGTTTGTCGACAACGACTGCGTCATTGGGCCACCTCCAGACGGCCTCATTTGGCTGATTACTGGACCGAATATGGCTGGCAAGAGCACATTCCTTCGCCAAAACGCGCTGATTACGATATTGGCCCAGATTGGATGCTACGTCCCTGCGTCGTATGCTGAACTAGGCATTGTCGACGCGATATTCAGTCGCGTGGGCTCGGCTGACAACTTGTTCCATGACCAGAGCACCTTCATGGTCGAAATGCTTGAGACGGCCCAGATTCTACGGCAGGCCACGCCACGATCCTTTGTCATCATGGATGAGATAGGTCGGGGAACGACACCCGAAGACGGCACGGCGATATCGTTTGCCTGCTTACACCATCTGGTGACCATCAATCAATGCCGAACGCTCTTTGCGACGCATTTCCACGACGTAGCCGACATGGCGGCCGCCGAGGGCTTCTGCCAGCCGCAGACTGGGTCCGTCCGGACGTACTGCACTGACGTGGAGGAGCGCGAAGATGGAAGCTTTGTCTACATTCATAAACTACGACCAGGCGTCAACCGGCAGAGTCACGCTCTGAAAGTGGCACGCTTGGCAGGGTTACCGCAACATGCGATTGACGTTGCGAGGAAGGTATTGGAGGCCGCAGAGGCAAAGGATAGCGAGGCTGGGGGTGGCGAGTCGCAGGATGCTGCATAGGATATGGGCGGAATCACATTTATCATGAACTCTCTTGAGCGAATCCTGTGGAATCTTTTTGTACGTTAGCCATTTGATCATGTTATGAAAAGAGTGCACGAGATAATGAAACAGATGGCTTGAGTCATAAGGTGTTGTTGAATATTTGTTTTCATCAGGAGATTCAGGGTTAAAAAGCTCATGAATAAATTTATAATCATTCAAAGGGCAGGTTGAAAGGAGGATTTGAAAAGCAAAGAGGGGAAGACTAACCTTTTGTGAATGAGAGGTTATCAAACCAGCATCATCATCACAAGCCGACATGCACAAGTTGACCCGTTCAAATCATTTCTTTCAATCGTTGACTTGCAACTTTCATTGTTCTTTCCGTGTCTCATGCAAGCATCGCATTGGTCCTCATCTGACCAACCAATGACCTATGCACCCATAGATTTAGATCCATAAACCGTAAAACAAACCGAATTAACCCTGAAAGCCGACCCGTTATCGATATTGATTGTTTAGTCGCTATTGAGCATGTTAGCATTAGATTCCACTGAGACGACGCAAAGGGTGGCACGTACAAGAGACCGCCGAAGCCCTCCTCATCCTCCTCCTCGGACTCGTCCTTCTTCTCCTCAGCGGGGGCAGCCTCAGTGGCAGCGGCAGCGCCACCGGCGGCGGCAGCGGGAGCAGCAGCGGCGTAGGCCTCGGGGTTGGCGATGCGGTCCTTGAGCTGCTCAATCTCGGGCCAGCTGATCTCGGTCTCAACGGCAACAGCCAGGACCTTCTTGTAGGAGTTGACAAGAGAGTGCATGACGGAGGGCAGGGTGGGGAAGTTGATGGCCAAGGAGATGGTGGCGACGGTGGTGATGGCGGTGGACAGAGCCTTGAGGAGCTGCTCCTCGCCAATGTCGAGGATGGAGGGAGGGAAGGTCTGGCCCTGGTCGTAGACCTGAGCGATACCCATACCGTAGGTGAAGGGGGAGATGTTGAGCAGGTTGAGCAGCGAGGCCTCGGAGGGGCCGACCTTGTTGCCAGCGTCAATGAGCTTCAGATCGGTGGTGATTTCAATGGTACCACGGGCGATCTTGGTGGGGACACCGAGAGCCTGGAAGAAGGAGGTCTTGCCAGGCTCCATGCCGGTGTTTCCAGCGGGAACCCACACGTCGACGGGGGCGACAGCACCGGCACGGGCGGGAGCAGCGACACGGTTGGCGAGCAGCTGGTCACGGATCTCCTTGAGGTCGCCGTTGGTGAAGACGAAGCCGACGTTGCCCTTGACGAAGGGCAGGATGCGCTCGTACTCGGGAGTGTCGACGAGGAAGGTCCTGAGAGCTCGGCGAACCTAATAAAATTATTCAACATTAGAATCTGCTTGCTTTCCAATGTCTGCTCGCTTCTCCTTCAGGGATTGCCTTACCATGGTGTTCTTGCCCATCAGGACAACTCCCTTACCACGAAGGGAGTGTCGGATCTCGTGCATCTGCTGAGACGAGACATTGTCAATCTCGACAATGAAGATGGACTTGTAGTCTTGGAGCAAGCCCTTGAGCTTGTCGAAGTAGCCGGCCTTGTTCGCTGATTTGCCCCCCATATCTTCTTATTTCTGAAGGCAGGTTATTTAAGGGCAAAAGGATATCCTAGAGTATGGGAATTTTGATTTGACTCGAGGTCGTTGGAAGGATCGCGAAAAAGGGAAAAAGAGAAGAGGCGAGCCGATTTTGTCGGATTTTGCGGCCAGTGGGAAAATGTGTGTCGAAGCGGCTAGGGCATGCGCTCTGCTAGCCTGATTCGGGTAAGCGGTGAGAGAGAAGAAGAGCTCGATTTCTTTCATTTGTCGTCAGAGATGGGAAGAGTGAGGTACGTACCTCTTTTCGCAATCCCTGGCATGAGTCAGCAAGCTTCCGTGAGCTTGGTGAAGGTACAAGCGGGATGTACCTCTTTTTCCTCTCTCAGAGCAGCCTTGGTGGAAAAAAAAGTTGCGATATGCGCTTGAGACCATAGCGACGCCCTTCTTTCAAGGTCCAATTCAACTTTCCCCTTACTCAGGTCTCCGTATCTCATGAGAAACTCTCATTTCGAGCACTTTAGAGAAAATGAAGATTCCGTATAACAGAGTCCACGTCCAAGGACAGATCCTCTTCGCCGCCCGCGGAGGCGCAATACACACCTTCAGTCTCACAGACGGCAGCCACATCTCATCATGGAAGCACCCCGACGTCGACAAAGTCGCCCAGTCGATCCAGGCCATTAATGACGCCAAAGCGGAAGCTGCTGCTGCTGCTCTCACGGCCGAGGCCGATAGCACTCCGGCGACTGAAAGCGAGGGCCCGCCTGCCAAGCGGCAAAGGCTGGATGGCGGCGACAGTGAGAAGAACCCTTCAGTGAGCGCTCAAGTCGAAGCAGCATCAGCATCAACTCCCACGGCCACGACAACTCAAAGTGAAAAGCCTCAGCAGGCTGGCCATGTCGATGGTAGAGGAAAGAAGGGCAAGGGCAAGGCGGGCAAGGAGGTTGTTGACAGCGGCAAATCCCGCTTTGCGCGTGTGCCTGACCGGCCGGTGGTCACTCATCTGACGAGTACGCCGGACGGCAGCCATCTGGTGGCCATCACCGGGCACGACAAGGTCATTTGGGTGTTTGAGCATGACGGAAATGGCCAATTGAAGCAGCTCAGCAAAAGGTACGGACACACAACATTCATCCTGATTCATCATCCCAGCTACCCTCCCCGAGAAGCACACCCAAAGCTAAGACATATCATATATATAGGACAATGCCCAAGCGACCAAGCGCAGTCGCCATCGGCCCAGACAACCAAATCATCAGCGGCGACAAGTTCGGCGACGTCTACGCCATCCCTCTGCTCATCCCAGAAGACGGCTCCAAGTCCGCAGCATCGCTTTCCTCTCTGCCGCTCCCCTCGAAGAAGGCCTTCAAGCCCACTGCCACCCCGCTCACCGTCCACTCCAAGGGCAACCGCCTCGCCCTGCTCAACCAGATCAAGCAGGCCGAGCTCGCCGCCGAATCCAAGGCCGCCAACTCTGGAGGCCCCGATTTCGAGCTAAACCTGCTGCTGGGACACGTCTCCATGCTGACCGCCCTCATCCTCGGCGAGCAGCAGGGCCAGGGCCGCCGATACATCCTCACGGCCGACAGAGATGAGCACATCCGCGTATCCCGCTATATTCCCCACGCGCACATCATCGAGGGTTTTTGCTTTGGCCACAAGGAGTTTGTCAGCGAGATGGTCATCCCCCCATCCAAGCCAGACGTCCTCATCTCCGGAGGCGGCGACGAAGACATCTTCGTCTGGGACTGGGTCGCCGGGAAGCAACTCTATAAATCAAGCATCCTGTCTCTCGCGCGGGAAATCGCCCCTGAGACCGCAACCGTCGCCGTGTCGGGCCTATATACTCTGCTCTACCCCTCTGCAGACGGACCCCTCACATACATTCTGGCCATCTGCGAAGAGTAAGCATCCCCCTCATCAGGAGATTATCAATATCAAGTGGGAAAATGGCTAATAAACACACTACAGCATCAAAGCAATCTTCTCCTGGAATCTCAACCAATCCAACGAACTCCACTACCCAGGCATCATACAACTCCCCGGCAAACCCCTCTCCCTCACAATCTCCCCCAACGACGACAACGCCTCTCCCCCGACTGTCATCGCCGCCATCGATCCCGACGCGGAAACCCAGGCGCAGAGCCTCCACGCATTCCGCCTGACCATGAACAACGGCAGGCTCGCCGTGGACGTCGAGACCTCGTTCAAGGACCAGGAGGTGGAGGCGAGCGAGCCGGAGCTCACTGAAGAGGACGTCCGGGGGCTCCTGTACACTGTTGAAAGCCTGCGAAAGGTGGTCACGGGTCCGGATGAAGAAGGGGGTTCGGAAGCACCGCATGGAAATGCAGATAGCGAGGCAGCCGCAGATACCGGTGACGGTGAGCAGTAGTTTCATCTGAACTAAATGCGTCTGATATTCGGTCATCCATAGCTCTGTACCCAGGTACTTACATCATGAGCCCAAACACAATAGCCATAAAACGGATACACAAACTCCCAAGAACAAACAGCATTCGCTTGATATCATCGTATTCATAGTCTAAGCCTGCAGCAACTTAAAAGAGCTCATCAAAATCGTCTATGCCCCAAACGCCCTCCAACCTAAGTCATGCAGTCCAAAAAGCACCCAGTCCATAAATTGGTCGGCAAGATGGACATGCCCGCTATCATCATCCCATTGCGCTTCCATCGCCTTTCCAGATGCCCTAGCCTTTTTTTTTTAATTCCAGCAAAGGGAGAACCCATTCCTCCTCAAGACGGTATCAATGATTCCGGGGAAGAAGAGAAAAAACCATGTGCTTGCAGCGGAGACTGGACAGACATGGTTTGTCAGTCCAATGATGAAATCAAGCAGCACTCATTCTGCTTGCCGCAGGTATTTGCTGCCTCTGGAAAGAGGGCATCGTAACGACTCAATGCCGCTGGCGTCAGCGCGCATCCATGATCCCCTTTCCCCTAAATCTTCTTCCTTCTTCTTCTTCTTCTGTCTCTTGGCCCCAAGTAAGGTATATATAGCGAAATACTTGACTCTCTCTTACTGCGAGGCGCACTGGACGCGCTCGCCGCCAGGGTGGCCATCTTCGTCTTCATCTTCGCCCATAGAGTTGGGGTCTCCGAAGACCTTGGACTGAGCCTTGGTATCCAAGTCTTCCAAATCAGCAGGCTCCGTCATAGCCTCAGCAGGGGGGACGATCTGTGATGTAGGGGGCGGGAGGAGCTTGCGAAGGGCCTCGAAAGCAGCGGGATCATCCGTCCAGTTCTTCTCGGGGAACTTGACATCGAAGCGGATGTAAAGGTTACCGTAGTCGTGGTGTCTGTACGAGGGCATGCCCTGGCCGCGAATCATCTTGACCGAGTCTGAGAGCGTCTGTTAGCTGCATGCTCAATTGGCACGAAAATAAATTGTGGGAAAGGGAAGCTTACCAGGCGCAATAGCCTCGCCGGGCAGAATCTCGACACTGAGCCATCGCTCATCCAGGTGCTCAATGAAGATGGTGCCACCTGCAAGGGCAGTGACCAGCTCGATTTCGCATCGGTAGAGGAGGTCGTCCTCCTTACGAGTGAAGCGCGGGTGAGGCTTCTGCTCAATCTCGAAAACGACGTCACCGGCCTCGACACCGGGAGCCTGGTCACCCTCACCACGGAACTCGACCTTGGTGCCGCTGCGAACACCCCTGTCGACGTGGACGTGGAGAACCTTTCGGTCAACCGTTGTCTTCTTGCCGTTGCACTGCTTGCAGCGGTCCTTGTCCTTGATGATTTCACCTTCGCCGTTGCAGTCGGGGCAGACAGTCTGGAAGCGCTGGATCATGGGGCCCATCTGGCGCATCATGGTCTTCATACCAGCACCATTGCAGCCTGTGCACTTCTTGACGGCACCCTCCTTGCCTCCGAGACCGTCGCACTTGGGGCAGATGATGGAACGCTGCAGCGCAAGCTTGGAGATCTTGCCTCGGTAGATGTCCTCAAGAGAGACCTTGTGGGTGTGGTGAATGGTGCGAGCCTTAGGCGGGCCACGGTTCTGCATACCGCCGAACATGCCTCCCATACCGCCGAAGCCACCGCCGCCGAAGAACTGAGCAAACAGATCCTCAGCAGCCATGCCACCACCACCCCCAGCACCGCCCTCGAGACCTGCTTCACCATATTGATCGTAGATCTGTCGCTTCTGGGGATCGGAAAGGATCTCGTAGGCGTGCGAGATTTCCTTGAACTTCTCTTCGGCAGCGGGGTTGTGGGCGTTCTTGTCTAGAAGCTGCGTGTTAGTAAGATTCGATCGCTATTCCAGTGGGTGGCTAGCAAGGTAATATCGTACCAGGATGGTGTTTCAGAGCACCGATCTTGTATGCCTTCTTCAACTCCTGCTCTGTAGCTGTGGGAGAGACCTAGCGTCCAGCATGTTAGTCTTGTCGTCCAGGTGGGAGCGGTGGGAGCGTTGCAGGGCCAATACATACACCCAGGGTGTCGTAGAGCTTCGTTTCCTTCACCATGATGTCGAACTATAGCGTATCGGAAAGTAAATCTTTATCTTGGGCCAAAAATGTTCAATGAAAAAGACAATAGGCGGTCGATGAGATCGCTGCTAATAAAGAGGGCTCTGTGAAAGAGGTATTAGTCAGAGTTAACAAAGAGACGGAGCCGTAGCAACCGAGCGCCCGTGGAAACTTCTAGGCAGCGAAACGAGCAGATCTCTAATGCGAAGACGAGGGAAGTATACTCAAAAGCCTTTGGGCGGTGATGGCGTAGAAGAAGACGGAAGTGCTGCCAGTGGTTGCGCCGAGGGGCAGAGGCTGATGATAAACGGCGTATATTATGGGTTTTACCGTACCTGAGTAATAGCCCAGCAGAAAAAAAGATAGCGTGCCCAAGAAGCCGCTGAGAGGGAAACAGTGGGGCTATCCTGAGAAATTTGCGGGTTGACGATTTCTGATTTCTGATGGCTCTCTCTCTGTCTGTATGTAGTATCTTGGTGTTCTGGTTCGGTCGAGCAGCCGAAGTTCAGTTTGCGACAATCAAAAACGCAGTTCTGTCGGTCTGGTGTGTGACTGAGCAGGAAATGCTGATCCTTTTGAGAGAAAACGAAGAGAGGAGTGTTCCGGTCAAGGGAAGAGCCTTGGTCTGGTCGCAGCAAAGGGCAGAACAAGGTGCTACAAGCGCCTTGGGAGGATTAAAAGGGCGGCTGCAAGGGTCTCAAGGCTGGTGCGCCTCATGGAAGTGTATCGAAGAAAGTCGATGGTGTGGCGGTGCGCGATAACGCAAAAAGCGTGCTTCGGCGGGCTGCCAGCGGGTCCCGCCGCGTACCTGCTTGTCACTGTACCTCTCGATGGAAGCAACTGCAACTGCAGCCATGTGTTGTTCGATTGGTGATGCGTCGTCCTGCAGTTATTCGTGCGTCGCTCCGTTTGCCGTCTCACCGCAGATGCCGCCGATTTCTCTGCGTAGACGGTGTTTGCGTCGCTACCGCCGTGATATCAATAAGGTATGTCATGTCATATCAGCCGTAACGCGAGCGTGGTGAATCGGCCACCGGCCACAGAACCTGGACAAGAGGCAATCGCGGGAGGTACAGTACCAAACGGTACTCCGCAGCTCCGGCGAAGACGCTGGTAATCCCTTGGAATCCGATCGAAGAGATGACGAGGCTGCTATTGGTAGCTGTACATGGGCGAGACTTTTCCTGCCTCTCCAATAAACTTTCCGATGCCACTGATCTCGTTCTCCATCTCACATCTCAGGGTACCGGCCAGGTACTCCGCATTGGGCGCTGCATCTCCGTGCCTGTACCCGCAGCCGTACCTGTACCTGTTCCCCCTCCCACTCTCCGCACCTCCCAAACCTTCGATTTCGATCCAGCCACCGGGCTTTTCGATTGATATTGATTATTGCCATTGTTTATAAGTAAGATAGGTAGTAATGCCTGCGAATGACTCGCACGTATTCCCTCTTTCGACCACTGTTTGCACTAATATCACCTTGACAGCACACACACACGCACAACCTCCCCCATAGTCTACATGCAGTGACAGCACCAGCAACAAACGAGCGAAATAGAAACCAGCTGGCAGACAAGGATCTTCCCCCTGCTGCACAAGAACAAAAGCGTCCCCAAGTCCCCTATTGTCGCTTTTGTTCTCACCAGAATCTCATCCAACAAATCACCGATCTCGCTCAGCGCGGGAAACAGACTAGCCAGCCGCTGCTAATGCAACGCTTACCAGCTGCTTCCGATAATTGTAAAAGGAAATGGATGGACGGGACAAAAAAGCGAAAGCGAAAGTTCGTTGCGGGCTGGCTGGCTGACCGACACCGCCACAGAATGATGACCGGAGACGGCAAGGTCTCTCAAAGGCCGGGCTGAGCTGAGCTGAAGTTGAGATTCGCAGTTGAACGGCCGCCTTTTTTACAGCCTTCCTAGACTTTGGGGGGCTTGTTGGGGGCGCGTGGGAGGGATTCCCTTGGCTTTGGAGGCATCCTTTGTGTTACCCAGCGGCCAACACTAGGCCTTTCTTTGTGCACAAATGTTTTCCCAAGCATTTTGTGGCACCTCGTGCTCATCTTGGATACGAATCCGTAAGTAGGATCGTACAAAGGGAAGTAGTAGGACTGTGCTCATTGTAATCTTCGCAAATCTGGGCCTGGTGCCTTGAAGACAAAATACACTTCTATAAGCATGCAAGCCACTTGCGTCGACGTAATTCCCACAAGCAAACAATATGGAGGTCACAGAGTCTGCGACACCCGTAGAATGGATTATATGTGTACTTCATTGCTATTCTTGACCAAAAAAAGAAGCATGCCCGTATAATATCTAAAGGCTCTCTGAAAGAAAGACATGGTGAATGTACACTCTGCAGCCGGAAAACAAAGGCCGCAAAGAAGAGGCTGTGGAGGTATCATACGAAGGAAAAGGGTGCCCAAGCCATAGAGAAAGAAAAGAAAGCAAACCCAGAAATCGAATGCTCCGTCTCGAATACAAAATGCAGCCATTATAATACACAGAAACGTCAGAGTCGTGAATGCCTTCTGCATACTAAAATGCCCGCCGTCTATCGAGTTCTGCTTTAACCTCCCCTTTCCCGCTCGGCTCGTGTAGAACCGTCACACATTCGAATTGAACAGCGCCTTAGAATGCGTCCTCAAAGGGGCAGTCCACGCTGTCGTGACCATCTCGCTCGCAGATCGCACACCACTTCTCAAGGTCCAGGACGCCACTCTCTTTGCCAGCCACAGGCCCTGACTCCATGGGGTTGGGAGTGACCCTGACGGCCGGAACGGAGGCCGGCTCCTCCTTGGGCAGGCCGGGCGTCAAGACAGCTGGGTGGTGAATCTCCTCGCCCGTGGGCGTAAGAGGCTTCAGGTCCTCATGGGCGGCGGCCTCTCTCCGCGCCT